CTCCACCTGTTTGTCCCACAATCTAGTTTGGAAGATGTATATGGCATCAAATGTTCTTGTTTAATTTATTGAAAGTTAAATTTTAGTTTGTTTTGGTAATTGAATGCATGTGCACACACATTACAGGCGGCATCCAAGCCTTTTCAAGGTTTCAAGGTTTTTTCTTGATGTTTGAAAGCCGTGCTCAACATCATGAATTTTGGAATTTGCCTAGTTTTGAATATGTGACTTTATTGATTACAATGAATGTACACTTAACATTGTTCTTACCTCTTAGTCCTGTGTGAATGCAATACTTTTTAATGAAGTTATTCACTACTTGAGTTGTTTTTTAGTAGATACTTTACTGTTACAACCACAACAGCAGAGATTAAACAGTATCGCATTTCTGCAAAAACCATTACCACCATGTGCATTATTGTTTCATGTCCAAAGTATTCCCTCGCAGCCACAGTCAGTCTGGGGAAGTCCTGACTGTAAGTGATCCTCATCTGCCATGTCAGGCTACAGAGAAGCCCATCTGTCTGCACCAGGGCTGCACAAGTTCATCTGGGGAATGTTTCTTGACTGGCTGATCCGAGGCTCCCAGCCAGGCTTCAGAATCAGCAGGATTAATGACCTGGCCTGTTCACCATTAATGACCAGGCCAGGGAAATGAGGTTCACCCTGTATTTTATGTCTTTTCAGTTATGGAGATGATTCTTAAAATGAAAAGTCTGTTAATACACACAGTCTTCCCATCTGCATGCCGAAGCGTCCTTGGGCAAGATGCTGAACCCTGAATCATAGAACAGAAAAAAGTGCTGTTAATAGATGCACTGTGTGAGTGTGTGTGTGAATGGGTGAATGGCAAACTGTACTGTAAAGCACTTTGAGTGGTCATCAAGACTAGAAAAGCTCAATATAAAATCAAGCCATTTATCATTCATGAACACACCTTTCTTGTAGGTGTAAGATTTTTATTATGTGTTTAGGCCTGCCTGAACAACCCTCAGGTCTGTAAACCTGTATAAAGAGCCATTTCCTGCATACATTCATCCCCCCGCTGTTGTCCCCCTAACCTCACACAGCTATGGCTGCTGCATTTCAACAGGAATGTGTAGCTAAGCTGGAGCCAGAACATCCTATCATGGCAGAACAATAAGCTCAGTGTGTACAAGTCTATTTTTCTTATCAGGCAAGTTCCCTCACACCACTACACTGCCAATGCACTCGAGCTGCACTCTTTACTTACCAGAACACTATTAAACATTCAGTTAATATTAACAGAGAATAAGTGAGGTCTTTACCTCTCACAGCTCAATATGACCATGAGACACCTACTTGGCTGACTGCTGAAAACTCACCTTCTAGCCTCTGTTTTGGAACAAAAACTCCCACCCCACCCACTACAGTTAACAAGACACACCCTCACTATTCCCATATATAATATATATAATGAAACTGTGACTTTGTTTTGCTCTATTACAGTTCATTATAGCCCCAAATGATTGCATGAAGGGGATGCAAAAAGAAACAGTTTATATAATGTTTTGTAACTAATGGTTAAGTGGTTAACACATTGTATAGGATAAGTTATAAGCCATTTACATAAGTAATTCAGAACAATTGTGATGACCTGAGAAAAGCTTAAAGTGCTCAAGTACAATGCGTATCCATCTAATCCCAACTGCTCCCATTACTTATTACAGTCTTATTAGTCCTCAGCATGAACAACTCACTAAATAGAAAGAGTGCATGCTGGCTGCTCCTGTTGTCTGCTTGAAGCAGAGTGGCAAATCTCAAATGTACAGCAACATAAATATGCAGCCTGAAGCAGATTATGTGTGTGTACATGCTGAATTGATATCTGTTGTTTGTTGTGGTGAAAACAATCTGTGACTGCTACTGCTTTATATACTGCTATTTTGTTACAAATATACACTTACAAGTTTTTGTTCCTTATGAAGTCCTTCAGGATTGATTTATATATATATATATATATATATATATACATATGATAAGCTGGCTTGCAATTTATCAAGATATACCATGTTCTTCTGTTCTAGTGATGTGGATGTGTGTTGTTCAGAAACAATATTTAATATTTAAATTAGAATCCGTATTATATTAGTGTGACTGCAGTGCTAATATAGAATTGGTTTTACCTGAGCTGTCTGCAAAACTTTACCGTTTTCAACAGGAACACTGCTCTTATCTTTTCACTTCTGGCTAACTTAATACGTAGTATAAATTCAAAATGCTGTTCTGCCAATAAATGAGCAGTCTACCATCTTAATAAACTCTTCACGGATGTGATATATACGATTCCTTTTAAGGCAAAGTATTTTCTTTTTGAAAGTAAAAAAATAAATAAATACATTTACTGAATGAAGTGAATTACTCAAGTGCTCTATGAAGAGCCTGAGCTGAGCTGAATATTATCGGTTTCTGAGGTGGCAGGTATAAAGCTGTCAAGCTTAAGCAAAATGATAGGCTGCCACAATAAAAATAGAACTTTTTGATAGTTCAGAATGAGTTCCCCAGTTCAGTTTGTTTTTTATTTTAAACCACTAAAAGCTTTTTTACACTTTGCATACTAAACTTTGGTTGGTGGTTGCAGAGAATGTCGAGGTGTTTTCTGTAAAGTGACCACGTCATCTGAGAAAACATGGAGCCTATAGGGTGTCAGAGTTACAGAAAGGTTTTTTTCTTTCACTCCACCTCTTAAAAGAATGCCAGGCTACTTGTTTTGCTGAAAGATGTTTCCAGGACAGAACACAAATATGTCACCGGAAAGGTAACGTCAACTTTCCCATGGCTAGACATTATCTGAACTTCCATAACTGTTATCCATCCAAAAAGGTGACAGGCAAATTAACTAATGGGAAGCTTTTTGAATCCATAAAAATACCCAGACTTGAATTTAGATTTTAGTGTGCGTAGTTTGTTAACTTGTTTTTTGTAACCAGTCATTGTTTACATGTATATTATTGTTATCTGATTATTATTATTATTTTTTAAATGAAGTCACTGGTTACAAGTATTATATCGTTCTGGGGGCTGAGGGGCAGAGCTGTCAGCATCTGCATGCCGAAGTGTCCTCAGGTAAGATGCTGATGTTGCACTAAGGCAACATGTTAACCTCCAGACCTACAGTAACTCAGATGAGGAGCCCTTACAAGTAGGGGTCAAATGATCGCAAAGACAGTGAGCTCAAGACAATGTGACAAAGTGCCTTTTATCAATTCATGCCATGATTCTAGTTTTGTGTTCATCTGAACAGGCCCAGATTTGACACTGAGTGGGTATAGCTGCTTTCAGACTTGCACTGAACTCACAAGATCCTCTGCAGGTCTATGTGTTAACACAAATGTCTGAGTGACAGCCTCCTGAGCTTCTGCAGACTTTCTCCACCTGGTCCTTTAGTATAAAGTCTGCAGAAAGCCCGCAGACGTTGATGTGAGAACTCAGCAGGGGATCCCTCCTGGATTCACCATGAGCTCTGCCTGCTCCAGCACCCCTAACCTGAACCCTCTGGAGAATTTGCTGCTGTAGTGAACATGTCTGTGGATGTGCACAGAACCTCCCACTAAGCTGTGCATGTGTGACAGGCAAACTGCGGAGAAACTGAACTAAATTATCTGGAGATCCTCCAGGGGACATGTCTGGAAACGGCTTATGAACAACAAGTCCTTATAATATTTATTATTATGATGGACCACTACATTTCAATTTGTGACACTTATTTACATTTTTGTAACACACTTATGTCGGTCTGCCGAGGGATTTTTTCGGTGTGGACCAGCTGTTAAATGTTTTCAAAATGTGCCATTTTGCTCAAAATGCCTCATGGTTCTGTCAGAGGCAAATGATGGCCTTGTTGCAATCATTTCAGCCATTTCTAGGAATTAGTAAAAAAGTTTCCTTTGTGACTAGATGATAAACTCTTTTCCCAGACTGTCATTTTGTCATATCATCTGCTGCTCTACAAGGATCACATCAGCAATGACAGTGTTCAGTTGCAATCATATGTACTGTCTTTATTAAAAGCACCAGGCCAAGGTCCACCACATTACTGCATATGATATAATTCTCTGCCTTAGAAAATCAGGTGTAAAAATAATGCAGATGGTTGGAGGAATACATGCATATCAAAAATAGTGCACTTATATTATGTGCTTACCATAAACAATTTTGCTACTAATAATGCATTCAATATTTGATTACTGCAATCCAACAAAAAGAATGTGGAAGAGCTCAGATATGGTAACAGGGCTATTCTTAGTTAGCCTCTAGTCAATGTCACTTTCTTGATTGCCTGCAGGACATGTGGATCTAGAACTCACTGATATTCCATTCTTTCCTCTGCAACACAACTGAGCAGAGCAGATGATTTAGCCTCCTCAGTTCACTGAGGCAGAGTTACTTATAAAGTCCACTCAATATCAACACATCCTATTGGTGCTGTACTGTACTCCAAAACATGAACATTTAATAAACAAAATAGAGGTCTAAATCCGACTTCTCAAAACAAGTGTTCTACTGTTTACCTCTGTTTATATTTATACTCTCCTGGGAGGGGTTCCATTTAATTGTCCCTTTGTAATGAGTATTGTGGTTTGAAAGGGACAAGTCTGGGATAAGGCCAGAGTCTGATGCTGAACAGTGTATGCAGGGAGGAAATATGTCTAATGTCTCAGTAAACATTTTAGATTATGTGAGGATGGTTGAGGCTTTTCAATGTGAGAATGCATTTCTCTCAGGGTGGAATTGCATTGCCCTTTCTCTCGTTCACACAAATCCATGACGAGAAAATCCATTGATGGATCAGTCACGCTTTGGCCCAGCAACATTTACATTACAGCTGGATTTGACTGTGATGGGATCTCATTGGGGGAACCCCTCAAGCTCAAGGCTGTTGGATGAGCAGTAAAATCTCACACGACACGCTCTTAAATGCCATCATCTCCTAATCACGTCCTGATGACAATCTCTGTTTATCTGTGTCTTTGTCACAGAGGACCAGATCCCTCATGGTTTCCCTACCATAGACATGGGGCCCCAGCTTAAGGTCGTGGAGAGAACACGTACTGCTACAATGCTGTGTGCAGCCAGTGGTAACCCTGACCCAGAGATCTACTGGTTCAAAGACTTTCTACCTGTGGACATCAGCAGCAGCAATGGACGCATAAAACAGCTGCGTTCAGGTAAAGCAATCATCTTTACACACAGGTTTGTGTTCAACACTTCAGATGTTAAGTTTGATGATGTAAAACTATTTGAGACGTGCCAGGTCTTCATATTTATAGTAACTTTGGCTGGATATCAGACATCAATGCATTTTTGATATCTAATAAAAATGGTTCATACTTTCTAGTATCAAAAGCTGTTGATTATTAAATCAAAAATCTGGTTAAGCTAAGTTTAAATGGAGGAAAAAAAAACATTTAATGTACATGAAATAAAATAGAAGCAGCAAATTGTCACATTTGAAAAGTTGGAACCGCCAAATGATTAACATCTTGATAAATGACTTACTGATTATCACATTGCTTTAGATTAAGTTTTTGTTGATAAATGTGTTGATCAACTAATTATTTACATTTCAAAACGTATTACCTTTGAAAATCTGGTCTATCAGCATTACTATTAAAACATTTCAAAAGGTGTCCAGCCCCAGGAGTCACCTAGTGAAAAATACAAGCGGGTGACAAATTTAAGAGAACCCCCATAAAAACTGAAGGAATAATTGGGAATATTTATGAGGGAGGAGTTAAGTAGAGTTTCATAGTCTATACAGTCCATAAACTATACAGACTATAAATGTTGATGATATGACAGCTCCTATAAGTAAAGCCAAAACATCTGGATTGTCCCCTGGTAGCTGGCTGCAGTATAGATCAGAACCCCTGCACCCTCCATGTTAATAGTAATAATCACACACAAAATGTGCTTTTAATTAGTTTCTTAATATAGACTGAGATGTCATGATTGACAGCTGATATTGACCTGTGATTGGCCAGATGGGTGTATCTGTGGGATCTTGATCCTGCAACTCCTGATCACCACTGCACAGACTCTGGCATGATGGCAGCACCCTTGTCAAGTCAAGGATACAGTAATTGATCATTTTATGGACAGTGATTGGTTCTCGCAGCTTTGGGTGGCCCAACACTTTTTGCTAGTCTTTCCTTTAATCTGTCACCTGTCTGTACTTTATCCTGTCTGATGAAATGTTTTCAAGGAGCTATATTTTATCACATATGTATGCATTTCTGTAAAAAGGTCAACATAGCAAACATGTACACATCATTGCCACAACATATATAAAACCTGAATAATCCTGCTTTTATAGCTTGTAATGAGACCATACATTCATTTGACAGGTGGAGGGGTATTCCTTTCATCAGAAACATATTCTGAATGATCTGGAAGTTGATCAAGCTCATTTTTATTAAGATCATGAGCTTATTAACTGATTTTTCCACATAGAGTTCAGCTGAGCAGCACCTGTGTGGGGATGTTGACATGTCATCAGTAATTAAGGCAGCACAGACAATGGAATATTAAAGCACAGGCAGCCAATCGGAACTGCTTAGTGAGGTAGTGGCCTGAGGAGCAGAGAGGGTATCTTTCTCCACACAGCAGAGCTGGATTGCTGCTGGCTGAATAACTGCTTTCCATACAACCTGTCAGCTACCCTTTCTTCCACTGTCAGTGAGAAAACAGAAATGTTTGCTTCTTGCCTAAAAACCTCAAGCACCTACACAAATCTGGAATGGCTGTCCATGACCAGTAAGAAGCTGATTTCCTCTTAAGAGGCCCAAGGGCCCTCTTGCGGTTGCTCTCCTCTCGGCAGAGGCAAAGGTAAAGCTGAGAGACAGGTCAATCATGCCATGTATATCAACCGAATACCATGGCAATTTGTTTCAATTTGGGTCCCATGGGTCATCAGGTACAGTCCCCTAGCAGCCAAGCACAGATTGTGACTTCCCATAATAAAAAGATCTGAGTCATCCTGTGCCACACAAGTGAAATATTAAGTTGTTTGTTAGTTCAATGTATTTTTTCCAATAAATGAATTACATTAATCATGAATTAGTTAGTCGTTTTAAATAACATCGATCTGTTAAGAAACACCAACAGCAACAATATTTTAATTTAAGACCTAAGCTGTCAGGTATGAAGGGGGAGGAACGTGGTAGGTAAAAGGGTAAGGGAAGGACCAAGACGCGGAAACTAAATACTGTTTAACAAAAGGTGTCCTTAATTTAAAAGGTAAAAGTTACAAAAGAAATCTTCAATAAACAAAAGTAGAACTCAAAAAATATGGAGTGTGGAACATGGAAGGACATGAAAGAACTTACGAGGAAACGTGGCGAGAGGAGATGGGACACATGACCATGACGAGGAATGACAAGATACATTAACAGGACAAAGGACGACGAGTTACATGAACATGACGAGAATCGACGAAGAACCAACCGCCACGTGGGGGGAACATAACTTAAATACACACTTGAACTAATGAGTAACTGGGGACAGGTGGCACAAGACAAACAGGTGATCATGATGAGGGCAGGAAGTCAAAGAGGGAAAACACATCGGGAGCAGGGACTACAAAATAAAACAGGAAACAGAGGAACACTTAATAAACTTACAACATGAATTCAAAACGTAACAAAAACACTGTTGAGACATGAACTGAAAACTCTCTTCATAAACRAGAACAAAATACAATAACCAAGACAGGGATGAACACAGGAGAAGCACAGGGTGGAACATACAGGAACGCAGAAGGGAACATGAGAGAACACAGGATGGGGCACAGAGGAACACAGAAAGGAACACGAGAGGAACACAGAGATGAACGTGGTGAGGGACAAAGAGGGGAACACAGGAGAGGGACACAGAGAGGGACGCAGGAAAAACAGGGTGGAACACAGAGGAAGGCAGAAGGGAACTTGAAAGCAACACAGGGTGAACATAGCGAGGGACAAGGAGGGGAATACAGGAGAGGGATGCAGAGAACAACACAGAAGGGAACATGAGAGGAACACAGGATGGAGCACAGAGGAGAGCAGAAGGGAACATGAGCGAAGGACACAGAGGGGACATAGAACAAACTTAAAACATGAATTCCAAACGTAACAAAAACACAATTTAAACTAGAACTGAAAACACTCTTTCTAAAAGATACAAAATATGATAACCATGACACTAAGCCCTGAAACTCCACTTAGTCTGTCCATAAGTTCTACCAAATAAATTCCATTAAGGAGTGAGGTGACCCTGACTCACTGACTCATTCACTGACTCATGAGATGCTTGACCAACAAGCACAGTGGCTCCTGTTTCTGGGATCTGATTGTCCAAGGGGACTGGGCGAGAAGAGGATAAGTGTGTCAGGACAAAGCTTCTCTGTGGTAAACAATGATTTAGACTTTAAGTCCCTGAGGCAGCCAACAGATGTTCAACCACAGCAATAAATACATATTTACACCATTGACAGCAGAACAAGTCACAGAGGCAGTGGCATACAATTGGTCAAAATCAGCAAAGAAAGAGCTATTTTGACTCTTACCCCAAAATATTGTATATATTAATCCTTTAATCAAAACTTAATAACTCCAGTCACATTAACCAAACTTATTTCAATCATCGTTGAGTTTAGGAACATATGCACATAAACTGTAACTTGCTAGTTCTACCAGGAACCATGGAAATCATATCTTCTAACATACTTAGTTCTACTAACCACGGAAAGAAAACAGACTGTAATGTAAAGAGTCAATGAAATTTGGTGTAAGATGTTTTGTTTTCATTATTTCTGTTTGGAAAGAGCAAACAAGACAAGAACTGGACACAACTTGTGCATGTCCAGTCACTCAACTGGTGTGAGAAGTGCTTATGATGTTTCTACGTGAAATCTGAAGACTGCAGATCCACTGTTACATCCTGTTTTGATGGACACTACTACGGAAAAACATCCTTCCAATCCAGAAATTGTGAAAAAATAATAAAGTACTATTATTTTTCACAATGAACCTGGAAATCTGTCATGACACCCTGATTCCATGCTTAAGCATCATGGATTTTATCTGGCTGATTGGCAGCTGTAAAGGACAGTCATGGCAAGTCCCAGTAATGCCTAGCCCTCTGAAAGCTGCTGATGTCCCCTTCATCAGGCCCCGAGGGACACACAGCTTCTAGGGCCACCCCCTTCTGCCATGTATCACCACCTATCTGACAGGTCTTTGTCTTCCTCTTGACTCAGGAGCAGCATGGTTTATTATCCAGATCACTGGCATCTGTATAGTAACCATCCCTTGCTCTTCCCTTTGCTAACCATGTCTAAGTAATGTTACAGTGGTCCTAGTAATGATCACTTACATCAGGGAAATGCAAGATTAAATGGGAGATGCTACTACTGTCTTACTGGAATGAATAGCACCAGGAATGAACCATTGATTGAATTTTAATTTGAGTAAACATTTTAATTCATTTAAATTAGCACAATTTTAAAGTAGTGGCTGATCAGTTGTAAAAAGTTAAATGTTTAGCTAGTTAGGATAAATTCTCATTGGTTCACCAGTAAATGTGCTTAACTGTCGCTAAGTTAAGACAATTTTTAATCAAAAGAAACTATATGCTATATGCATGCAACCTTTTTTAGACAAGGTTAAAGATGGTTTCATTGGAGGAACCACACTTTGTATAATTGCATGTTAGAACATGCAGACATTTTTAATGCAAAAGTAATACAGTGGTGTTCACATCACCTTCCATCAATGCACATGGTTCCCGAAGTGATTTTTTTTTTTTTTACCATTCTATACAATAAAAAAAATCTATATATAAAGTATGACATTATTTAAAAACAGCTTGATGATGCAGCTACCAGTTTGATTAGATTTTCCATCAGCTAGGGGTTAGCAGTAATATCACAGTGCATTCAAAGGCATCCGTTTTGTTGAATTACATCAGAGGGAGAAAAGGCGGTTGGTGTCTTTCAGTGCCTTAGTGTGGTCCTGTTGATCTGGTCGATATGCTCTTGTTCTTATTCTCATCGTCACCATTCATACGTAGGTGTGATTTCAACTGACCAAATTTTTCTGTGGTTGACAACATCCCTAGTTTTCTTTTGTTTATTGTTATGGCAGGATGCAGGAGACAACAAGATGTTTGAGTTAGAACTCAAACAGGCCTTGTGGTTGGTGAAGTAGGGCTCAAGTGCTTGATAGTCAGGTGTTGTCAGGTGTGGGCAATAAAGAGCTATATGATCACAACATGATGCTAGCTCTGTGGCGCAAACAGCTATATGCATAATACAAATAAGCATCATGTGATAACTGAATGCAAAAATGATGGATGGGATGTGATTCATTGTAATGAACAGTTTGTGGGGAAAATATCACAATGTTTATTAAGGAAAATCCAACAATTCTTATTTTATCATCAGTGCTTTCGGTTGAAAGAAATAATTTATCTCTCTCAGCTCATGCTTTGACATCACATAATGCGTTATATATTTACAGATGAGTTTTTAAACAGGGTGAGAATACATTTCCCCTCTCTGCTTTCCTGCCATTCTTGTCTTTCTCTGTTTTATTTTTTTCTGTATCTTTCTCTCTATACTAATGATTATCTCTAATCTTATTTGCATTCAAATTACCTCACCAGGTGGTACACCAATCAGAGGTAAGAATGCTAGGTACAACTAAAAATGTACATATCCTCCTCTCCTCCTCACCACTTCCTGTTCTCCATCACCTTTGTCATCCTCCTGTCACCACACTGTGTCCTCATTTCAAGCTTTTTGGCCCTTTGGCCTGTTCCAGCACTTCCTCTGCCTTGAATTTTTTCAATATTGTATACTAACTATACTTGGAGGAGAGAGGAAAAGAGAGGTGCACACTTTCTTGTGAGGATGTTATCACATAAATGATAATAGTTCATTTGAAAATTCACCCAGTAAGGCAGCTGATCAAATAAGCTGCCTTACTGGGCAGCAGTGATCTGCCAAAGGAATACTAAAGAATGACAATCAAAGTCAGAAACTTTGTTTTGTCATATATAAAGGTCCTGTGTTGTTCGGATAAACTGTAGAACGTAGCTCTCTAGACTAAAACTTTTCGCTGAGCATATTCAGTTCACTTATAGTTTAGTAGACTGCTAACAATGAGTCATTCAAGTGTATAAGTAAGACCTCCGTCTGCATGCTGGAAGCAGCACAGAGAGGAAGTGCCTGCATCTTACGGAAGCGCTTAAGGGCAGAGGAAGTTTGGGACATAACATTTTGTTCCGGGCATCATAGTCTCCATCTGTAAAACTTAACACTTTCTCTGGCGGCACTGATCAAACTTTTTCAGTGCAAATGTCTATCAGCATCTATTTTGCATTTCTCAGGAGAGAAAGATGCATTTCTCCTAAAAGGGCTCTGCTTAAAATGCAGTGAAATAGAGAATCATCACAAAATGGGAAAGAATGAAGAAAGTGATTTAGTGGCTGCTGCACACTTGTCTGTCTACCATCTTCTGGTTTACCTACATGCACCGTATGGGAGCATGTGTACGTGTGAGGAGGGGGTTGGGGTTAACAACATATCAGGCAGAATGCATCCCAGATGGTCCACAAGGAATGTGACGACACACATTATTTCAACCACTAGCACTTAACATTGTGTTATAAACTCATCCCATATTGCATTTCAGGATCGTATTCTGAAATATGTACATGCTTAACATTTTATTTCAACATTTTTTATTGTGCACTGCAAAACTGCATGATATATGTCATCTTCACAAAAACTGCATCACTGCTTCAGATACTTTGATACTTTCTATCTCGAATGGAAACTCTCTTTTGACACCTGACTATTGAATGTTTGTGTCATTGCTATGAAACTTACATGACATTTATTTGACAAGTTTATTTTACACGTGGATGTAAATTGTGGTTTCAGGTAAGTTGCAACTCATGTTTTCTTCTTTCCCCGTAATGAAATCTCCAAGCCAGAATTATTCTGTGCTTTTGTCAGTCACAACTGGATGTTAGGTCACAACAGAAAGCTTCTGTTCAATGAAAAAACACAAGTGTAGCCCAAGTGTTATACTAAAGGCAATGACTAATCCATCCATCCATCCGTGCCACTAAATGCTGTCCACTTCCTTTCAGTGGCCATTTTAATCTTTTGGGCTGTTCACACGGGCAGCAAAGCGCTGCGGCCGGCTCGCGTTCTGCAGCGTCTGTTCTATTTTTTCAGCTCGCCGGGAACAAATTGGGCCAGAAAACACTCTGAAAATCAGTTTTAAACCATCCACTGTAATTGGTTTTTTTTATTATGTACTTGCGTAGGTCAGTCATTTGTGAAGCCCATCATCATTAACCCCTGAACCATACCACATACTTCTACTGTATGTGTGATTACAAAGTAGCAGGATCGCAGGTTGACCGGTGCGGAGCAATGTGCTTCTCTTGTGAACAGCCAAGCGCCTGCTTGCACGAGAATTGAGGCTTTGCAGCGCTTCCAACTCCGGTCTGTTCCTGGCGTAAGACATTCTGGTCTTTGGCGATAATGATTCGATATAGTGAAGATGTAGCCGTCTACAATAAATACAATGTATATAATAGAGAGGAAACATGGGTACTGGTTTCTTGTCTTAAAGAAACACAGAAAAGATTTCAGGTTTATGTTTCTCTATCACCATTTCTGAGGTATTGTATGAATGTGTGTGGTGCAGACCAAAAAAATGACCGAAAGTTGACCTCCTTCCCCAGGAGCACTTCAGATTGAGAACAGTGAGGAGGCAGACCAGGGCAAGTACGAGTGTGTGGCAGTCAACAGCGCTGGGACTCGCTACTCTGCTCCAGCTAACCTTTATGTTCGAGGTAAGATCCCTCTTGACCCTCGCCAACCCTCCCTGCTGCCATTCAGGTCATCACCTCCAGCATTAAGGCCACTCTCATCACCCTCACCACAGCGAGGCTCTGCACCCCACTGCAAATAAGGAACCTGGCTCCCTGGATTCAGCTGCAGGGAAAATCAAACCTGCTGATAACTGTCTTGTCTCTGCTCGCACACTCTTGGTTTCCCTGTCTGTCTTATCTTTGTCTCTTGTTTTTAATTTGCTTGACCTGCCTAACCCCATGGTGAGTGGACAGTGTAGGTTTGTTGGGGGCTGTTTTAACTCATCAGGGGTGAACAAGATGTTGACTGCGGTTCTGCTCTTTGTTTGGGTAGAGATGTGTAGATCGGCGACATCCGAATAAACACGTATGCTTGACATATCCGCCCATCACCCACCCAAAGAAATTATTTTCTTTGTTTTAGAGACCCATGAACATTCCACACCACCTCTACTGGTGATAATATGGATGACATATTACACTTAAGAAGGCTGGTTTTAATCAATATGTTTTTAACTCGTGGCTATGACTTATTAAGCTGTGGGAACAAAATAAATAATATGTTCTTTACCAACAAGACCTGGCGAACTGAACTGAAGAAGCCTTTTTGGTGGTAGATGAAACATCTCACTAAATCACATGATGTTGCTTCTACAGTGGGCTTTAATTTGATGCACACTGTCTGCATTGACTTTGAGGACACACTTTTGTGGAAATGATTGCAATTAATAGTCAATAAAAAACATATGGACCTACTTTTAGGCACCATGTGCAGGGAGTGTAGGGAGTGTGAATGTGTGCATTTTGGTGACAGGATGTGCAGTTTGCAATTACTATTCAATGAAAACATAGGGCCTTATTTTTTTGTGCCAAGGCGCACCGTGTGAAGTGCAGTTAAATTTAGAATTTGGTATTTTGGTGACAGGATGTGCCTGGCGCATCTGGACCCAAGGAGAGATCGATATGTTACTGGGTGTGGTAGTAGTTGCAGGGATTGACTTAACCAACCAGACATTGTTTTATATTTTCTTTATCCTTCCCTTTAAGGGGAGTGCACACCAAGCACAGAGTAGAATCATTATGGTGAGGACTGACTGTGCAAGACTCAGAGAGAGGGCAGCTGTCACAAGGTAAATCTGTAAACCATCTATCTCCCGAGACAAAAAAAATATTTCCTACTTAAAGGGAAGGTTAAAAGTACTACATTGATAAAAGTAATTAATTGATGTCTGGTTATCCCGTCGCTAACACAACCCAAATCTCTCCCTGTGTCCAGATACAGCAGGTGCATCCTGTCACCAAAATAATAAATAGAGATGTGTAGATCGGCGACATCCGAATAAACACGTATGCTTGACATATCCGCCCATCACCCACCCAAAGGAATGATTTTCTTTGTTTTAGAGACCCATGAACATTCCACACCACCTCTACTGGTGATAATATGGATAACATATTACACTTAAGAAGGCTGGTTTTAATCAATATGTTTTTAACTCGTGGCTATGACTTATTAAGCTGTGGGAACAAAATAAATAATATGTTCTTTACCAACAAGACCTGGCGAACTGAACTGAAGAAGCCTTTTTGGCTTCTTCAGTTCAGTGGTCCCTGTGAACTGGACGTTTAATTGCACTTGGCACAGTGCAGCTTTTGCACACCAAAAAATAAGGCCCTATGTTTTCATTGACTAGTAAATGCAAACCGCACAAAAAGTTAGACTCCGTCTGGCCTAAGTGATGCACCTGACTGTGCTGAATGAGCACTCACTCGCAGAGCTCGTTGCATGGAATGCACAAGATTCTCTTTCTTTATCTTTTACATTTTAAAGAATTCCTTTTACACATTGATGCATGATGCCTAGTTCACCCACCCGAATCCATTTGTTGTTTTTTTTCAATAATTTAATTAGAATTAGAATTATTAATCAAAAATAAGTAGGCCTTGTCAACAAACAACTCAATTAGCCTCAACCAGTATCAGGTTCTCAAGGGCAATTTTCCAAGCCAAGGGGTGATTCATTACAGCTTCAGTATCATGCTCACTCGATGTTTTCATTGATGATGCTCTTTGATGTTGTTTCCAGTAAGAAAATAATGTCAAAGCGTCTGCATGCTAAATCCAGTTATTGCATAATCCTCAATGACCTTTACAAAGGTCTCTAGAATTGTCATCATTTTCGCATTAATCCGGACAGCTGGCCGATGTCGACCTGGTGTCAAAAATCTCTATGCACTGATTTGCCACAGAATTAAAGGCAGTTCCATTACTCTTTAAATGCTGAAACTGATGTAGTATATGATGTTGTGTTAGGGCTGGGCGATAAACAATAGCAATAATTAATATAATATAACTTTTCCTCGATAGAAATGTAAGAAATATCGATAGAATGTCAATAGAACTCATTCCATCCATGTTTTGACAGACAATGATATTGAGAATGACTGGAGTAGAGTTACAGTTACCATTTACCTGCTGCATCACATCAAAGAATAATAGGTTAAATAAGGCAGGGGCCGTCACACACCCTTCCACAAGAGCAGGGTCCTAAGGGGAACCCCAGCACCAAAATATACATACAAATGTACTTAAGTACAAAAGTACAAATAATTAATCATCAATGATTCACGATGCCTCTTTTGAGGACTCGGCGAAATGAAAAAAGTTGTTGGCAAACAGAATAGGATAATTTTCCTCTTTTGTTAACAACCTGCACAGAGCTGGTACAGATAATAATAAAGACTGAACTGAACCGAGGTCCTGCATGAGCACCTGGATCATTTTTACACAGCTGCCCGACCAACGTCCAGACTCATAGGGTCTCGCGCTGCCCCCCCGATGGAACATACCCTGCTGGGGCCTGCGCGTCTCCCGAGGCAGGGGGCGAATGAGCGAGAGGTGCTCCGTGCATAAAAGTGTAAAAACAAGTAATGATCCAGTTTTGAGAATATAAGCAGTAGAAAATACAGATTTTTGTTTACAAATGAAGCGAGTAAACGTAAAAACTTAATTGTTTTCTAGAAGATGAGATGCCCCGTTTAGCCAGTAACATAATATAAAGATTTTTATAATGTTTTTATATAGAAGAGTTCTACGTGTGAGTGATAAGAAAACATCAGAGGAGCAGAGTCACTTGTTGACCTGAGCCAGTCTTGTGCCATATCACTCTTTAATCATACAAATGAAAATGAACTAGTTCACTTTCAAAGTTAATTTTTTTACATTTTGAAGTAAGTTCACGGTTCCAAAAATGAACTAGTTCATGTTCATTTGTTCAGTTTTTTAATATTGGGATGGTTATGAACACAGAATGAGACGACTCATTTTTAATTGAGCAAATCAAACAAACACTAACTAAACTTCATGCACTGATCAGGTCCTGAGACTGTGTGTTTGATATATATTGTGATATATATTGATGTCGACTGATATGAAAAATATTATCATGATACATTTTTTTCAATTTCGCCCAGCCCTATGTACTGTATATTCCTTACACATAGCCTTAAATCATTTGAAATATTGATGGTTTAAGAATTAATAAAATTTAAAACCTATCTTAATACAATACTCAAACTCCATATTTGCAATGAAACAATACTTTAAAAGAGCAATATCAATGGAAAAAGAATGAACAAATAGTGGTTCAAGAATGTATTCTATTGTTGAACATCAGATAATGTGAATCATGTGGATTATTTCCTGTTCTTTCCCCACTCACCACAAGACATAAAAAGACAGAGATAGAGAGTTGTGTACAGATAGGTCCTTTGAGACCCTGCAGCCTCACTGAAGCTACATTGGCTTTACTGCCATTCAGCTTATTTTAGAATGTATTTTGTTAAATCAGGAACTGTGTTTTTCTTATGGTGTAGTAACGTACCAGTACTTAACTTAGACAGACTCAAAAAAAGAAACGAAACAATTTTTATTCTGAAAATATTGAAAAAGAGATCTGAAAAATCTGACATCCATGATGAACTCTGCAAAGTCATTATCATATGTTTCTTAATCCCAGTACTTGAACAGACTGACTGCCTCCACAGCAGCCATGTGCTGTAATTCTAACACATTTATAATATATGTGAAGTAAAGAGAGATAATTGATTCCTCCTGTTAAAGAGGCCTGTGTGTGTATGCCCGCATGTCATGGAGATACCCAAGTATCAATATATATAAGCAGATACATTTTTATTTTCTCACCACTCCAATTTTAACAGTTTCCAACTAATAGATCACAGAGCGCTCATACCTGAAATAAAGAAAATTGTCTTTGAGAGCCAAAGAAAACACTTTTCAAGTCTCTTTTAAAAAATAACTACATTCATATAAACACTTTCACAAGGCTGACTTGTTCATACAAAAGTTTTGTAATTGACAAAAATCAATATTGTATATCATTCATGAGAGGTTTCCCCCAGTAAAGCTACAGAGCCGCAGCCAACAATGTCAAATAATGAGGTGCAACACTTGTTTTAGCTCTCTCTTCAAATTTCCTTTCTGTGCTTTAACCTTTAACATTCCCAGCTGTGCTGGTATGGAGTTTTTTTCCTACCTTTAATCAAGAGCATGGTATATCAATTCAAGCACATGACTTGCTGAATTTATGTTCAGAATGAATTACTTTTCACCAAAACCCTGCCTTTGCACTCAAATAACCCCTGTTTGCACTTAAATTTGCTCTGCTTCTGCTCAAACTGTGTGCTTGCACCTATATTGTTGCTCACACAAATTTCCTGTGCTCCAGCTTCAGCCCTTCTCTGCACTCGGGCTGCTTTCTGTGCACTCGTGAATCGTCTGCTCTTTGATTTCTCCTGTGCGCTTGGAATTATTTGTGTCAGGTGTTGTTCGCTTTACTTAAGTGCGTCCCCTGCTGGCAGTTAGTCTGAAGGGAAATGACGTCACTTAGATCAAAAGGTTAGTGGATCACCAGCCAACATGCACCAGCAAAGTCAAGGACCTCAAGTAAGTTTTTTTTTTATTCAGTAGTTACATAACTGGATTAAACTTTTTAAATTAACAGAAAGCAGCCAGAGTGCGGAGAAGGGCGCCAGCTAAAGCGCAGGAAATCCATGCGAGCAACAATATATCTGAGTGCAAGCACACAGTTTGAGCAGAAGCAGAGCAAATTTAAGTGCAAGGGCAGGGTTTTGAGGAAAAGTAATATGTATTCTGAACATAAATTCAACAAGTCATGCTCTTGAACTGAAAGACCAGGCTCTTGATTTACATATGCTGTTTGCTTATGTGTCTATTTTCAACTCTGTTTAGATTGTATTCTATATTCTCTGGTTTTTAGTTTCTCATGTTTCTCTTCTTCCTCTCATATAACATATACGTTTCTGTTCATCTCTCAAATGCTTATCCTTTGATCCACACATGAAGGCAGCTGTTTCTTATTGTTTAATTTGCTCTGCTTGTTTTTGTTCTTTGTCTATTGATCATGTGAGAATGTATTTTTAGTTTGCTTTTGTGACGTGTTTGTGTATGTTGTATAAAGTAGCCCAATACAAGACTCTGGCCTCTGAGCTATAAAAAAAAAAAAACAATGATATCAAATGTTCAAACTGTTATCTCCAGTTTTCCATATTAAGACAATAACACACTTATTTGATCTGAATTCAAGTTCCATGTACCAGCTTTTCTGGAGCCCCCAACACACATTTTTTGTGTGTATATGTATTCTGGCTGTCATGGGTAACTTTGTTACCAGTGCACAATGCTGCAGACAGGTGACTACCACAGTACAGCAAAGAGACACTGTGCCACTAATTATTACCTTGGTTAATAATTCCAAATTAGCCAGGAAGTAGCATGGTTAACTTTTCACCGTTAAAAATCCCATCAAACTTGCATTACACTAATCCAAAAACAAAATTAAGATGAACCCATAAATAGAGACCAGACTAAAACTCTTTAGCCCTTGAATTAATCAAAGGCAAACCCTAAAAAGAATTTTAAGCCAAAGTAAGCTAAGCAGATTCATTATAGGTATAAGGCCCAGTCAGGTCTGCTCCTTGCTTGAATATTAGGAGGAATTGGTGTTAGATTTTTTGGTCAGCTGCCAAAGTGCTGTGTAGATTTACAATGGCCCAACCTGATGCCCACTACAGTTTAAACATTATTTTACACAGAAAAGTGTGAGGCTGTGGTACACTTTGGAGATAAGTGTGTTTGTTCTTAGCAAAGTCAGGTACTGAACATGTTTTTTGTTATTGGCTCTGAGATGATTATATCATCATTCTGTCGATTACCAGCTCAATTTTCACAAAAAGCCTTCAAGAGAGTCACTTAATCAACAGTTTACGTGACATGATACATCTATTGTACATATATATGTATAATATCTGGCTTGAAACATTAATCTACTTCTACTAGGTTGAGTGGGAATGGAAAATGACAAGATAAAATGTACAGCTTCATCAAATGTAGTTCTTTTTTACTGAAAACAGTTAGAAGACTGTCATCATCTGCCAGATTACTGCCAGGACAGGATCCAAGGATTTAGCATGTTCCTTTAACACACTGTAAGCTAACCATCAGGTGTTCCTCCATAAAAAAAGAATCTGTTCTCAGCTAGAACTGGATACATTTCCACAGTGAGTGTTTGACTTCTTCAGGAGGCTTGTTTATGTATCCATTGAGTTCAGGGCGCAGACTTAATGGGCAGGATAAATGTAGTCAGTAACACATTGTTTTGTGTGCTTAATGAAATCTGGTTGTCAGCAAACCTCCTTTATGCAGCTTTAAGGCTCTGAGGGGCTCAAACACTGCAACAAAGTTAAAGACAGGCCCAGTGAAGGTGTGTGTAAGTGCATGTCTGCTTCTGTGTGTTTATTGTGAGAGCTGACTGGATACACTGGAATAGTCACTTTTAATTTATTTTTATCACTATATGTCTTATTGTGCATATGTGAGAGAGTGTTGTTCATGGCCTTTTGCTTTGTGTATTTGATGAGTTTGCACGGCACTGTTTGATATGTGTGTGCATGTGTGTGTGTGTGTGTGTGTCACTACTCTGCAGAGGCTATTGTCTACACTGGGATTTTTTCACTCATTAATGGATAAGCAGATATTTGCCTGTTTTACTCTCTCTGTTTCTCCTTGTCTTCTTCCTCTCACTATTATTTTGCCCCTCCTGTCGTTTGTTTTTTCTTTTTCACTTTATATTGAATCCCCCCATCACCATTGCACCCCGCCATCCAAAAACACAATCCAAATCTCACCACTCAGATCAACGGGAAGGTTGGTTTTTTCACTCTTTTCTATCCTAACACTAAGGCCTGGCAGACTGGAGCCGTGCTGCGCCGGCATCTCGCTGGGCGCCTCAGGCCCGTCCCGGCCTCTTTCTCAGGGCCCCAACCCCACAATGCAACTCCTTTGCTCCCCCAACTGCACCCTTCCCCACACTGTATGCTGTCTTGCATGACATCACATATTGCTTCATGCAGCCTGCTCCTCTAAAATTTTGTGAAATGAGCATCTCTTAAATGCCAATACTGTGCATTACATGTCCTATATACATGTCCCAACCTGGATGGGATGACATGAAAGATATGCAACACGTCAAAAGCATGGTAAGATATGTTCTTTTTTGTTTAATCAAAGAATAATCAAAAGTCAAATAGTACAAAGGGATCGTTTCATCTGCAGGGTTCAGATGCAATTCCTTTTTATTTTCCACACAGGCAATATGCTTTTCATTATACATACTATAGTGACATTTAAATCAATGGTCTTGGGAGTTGAAGTTGATCAGGTTGAACTGACAGGAACGGACCATTTACCTTTACTTTGCATTATTATTAATTCAACAGGCAATCAAAGACAACAGATGCACTTAGTTTCAACATCTAATGACATATCATATAACATACTGCCTGCATTTGCTTTCATTTATATATTCATTTATTCATCTGGAGTAAATCTCTGAGATCACAGTGCAACAATACCTCAACACCAGTCTATCCCACACAAAATGTTGTTTTGTTTAAAACATTATAGAGTCATATGTCACCAGTTCACAAAGCTCTCACAGGAATAACTCCAGACACTGAAAGGCTGGTGTTTCCCTGCCAGCAGTGTCTCACGTCCCATTATTTTGACACTACTGCTAATTAGTAAGTAAACGAATTAGCTGTGATAGTGTTTGACATTTTACAAACATCAGAATCAGAATCAGAAGTACTTTATTAATCCCCGTAGGGAAATTCAAATGAGATTTGTCAGATCTATTCATGAGAATAGATAAGTGCGGTGTTGACCTGATTAGACAAGTATTGATGTTGGGTAGCTGTTGGGAGGACCACCTGACCTGGTTATCTGATAAAATCCTCAGAAAATAGACAAATCTGATTCTGGATCCATGAATTCAGTCACTATGGTGCAGTGTTTTGTTCAGCATTGATTCACACCTCTGACCGGCTGTTTAGATTGAATAATTATGTGTAGGGTCTTGCACCATTTCCTAACACAACCTAATTAAAGACACAGAAATGATAATCATGTGCCCAGTGTGTGTTGTTGTTACACACTTCACACCTTTCTTTGTGAAAGAACATGAGCTTAGCATAATCTAGGTCCAGAGTTTGTGCTCACTTTACAAATTTTTTTAGCTGTGTCACTCCCATAATGTCCTCTTCAGCATGCTGATCATGTTATTATTGTCTTGGCTAATTCAAAGGCATGGCTCATCTCAGCTCTCATCTGCTATCTAAACCATCATTACACTGAGCAGGTGGCTCTGAGCTCACACTAATCTTACCATGCTCTCCTCTTATCTGTGTCTACGAGAAAACCACACTCTCCAAGAGAACCAAATTGCCTCAAACATGTTTACAGCTTTTTTTGGGAGACTCTTACAGCTCGATCATTTGTAGGAGAATGTAGAGGAGCACAGAAATTGAGGGGGAGAGAGCTACCATTTGAGTGTACTACAGCCCTATCTGAAGTGTTTGTGTTTGACATGTGGATATCGATCAATATGCAAACTTCAGGTACAGCTTGTAGACTTGAGTTTTATTCAACAGAGACTGTACTTTTATGTTTTTTTTGTCCATGGTCAGGGAACATAGAGGGATACTGCATGGGTGATAGAGTCTAACACATTGTTTCAAATTTCAGTAACTATACTTGACTTAAATTGTTAACTCTAACAAGCCATTTGAGTTTAATGGTAATGGCAGATGAAGGGGCTTTGATTTCAGAAGCCGCAAGAATGGAAGACTTGAAAACCAAAGAAGCAATGATAGCAAAATACCAGAGGAGAAAGACAAAGAAAATTAGATAAATATAAATGTTGTACCCTGAGCAATACAACACTGTTGAGGAATCATTTACTGCTCAGCAACTTTGACACCAAGTATTTGATTCTTGATGTTCCATAGCCTTGTCCTTGGTCACAGCTTAAATACCTGATACACAAAGGTGCTTGAAATCTAGGAAGAAAATCTGAAGCAAATACTGTTGAATATAGTACATGACATAACATGAATTTACACAGTGAAATACAAATAGAAAGACAGGCCTGTGTGTTGCTTTCAGCTAGAACCTACAATGGCTGTGGGAAAGTTTAACCTATGGTGTTATGAGACACATTCTGACTTGTTTCTTTGGAGTTAAACAAAATCCTATTTAGATTGGAAGCTGCAGTTTCAGTCCAATTGAAGAACATTCACAGCGCTTTTTGAACCCTTGTCCATGGATCTTGATGGGAGCATGCTGCCATCTCTGCACCTTTGCTGCTGCTGCTGCATGGCATCTCAAGCAGAAAATACAAATCTTTAGATCCCAACCTACCACAACGTTTTCTTTTTGAAGACTTGGCTATGCAAATCTTCTCCACTCAGCCTTCTTTCCCTACCCCTCCTATTCTTTTCTCTGGCATGTCAATAAAGATATGAGTTTGTCTGTATTCTGTCAGCTGCAGCCTTTTACTGCCAAATGTTATTATGGTAACTGAGCGACAAGTTCAGTCAAGTCAAACAGTAGCAAATACAAGATAACATAACTTGTATCCTCTGACTCTTTAAACTACTGTCATCACATCATCAATCAAATCAATCACATTTTATTTGTATAGCCCATATTCACAAATCACAATTCGTCTCAAAGGTGTGACATCGTCTGTCCTTAACCCTCAACAAGATTCATGAAAAAGTACCAAAAAAAACCTTTTAACACGGGAAAAAGAACATAGAATCCTCAGAGAGATTCACATGTGAGGGATCCCTCTCCCAGGATGGACAGAAGTGCAATAGATGCCACATGTGATGGAGAACATCAGAAAAATTAGAGTAATTACAGCATTGGTTAGAATAAATAGTTTGTAGCATGATGGAAGGTAAATTAATTGAGGAGTTATTGTCAGTAATGGTTGAGTATATGAGTAGACATATTATATATCAAGCAGTCTTGTTGTAACCATAGTCCACAATCAGCTGCCACCACGATCAGGATACACCATCATAATCCATCACCATGATCTACTGCTGCCATCAGGATCCACCATCAGCTGCCACCTCGATCATGGTCCATCACTATGATCAGATGCCAGCACGAGACAGGATCCAACATTATCATCATGGTCTCTGATTCACGATCAACCATCATAATTCACGATGTCGCCGCAGTTGCGGTCTTGATCTGCGAACGATAAGGCACAGGGACTCCGGGGAACAGTACAAGTCAGTAACATGTATTGATGTGACATTAAGTTATTTGACGTGATAAGGAGGGAGAAGAGGAAAGAGAAACTCCATGTGTCATGTGTCCCTCGACATTCTAAACCTATAGCAGCATAACTAAGAGCAGATCTAAGACAAGCCTGGACCAGCTCTAACTATAAGCTTTATCAAAAAGGAAGGTTTTAAGCCTACTTTCAAGCCCCCTAAATGTAGGGAGGGTGTCTGCCTCTTGAACTGAAACTGGGAGATCTCTTTTTCTGGTTCTTGTCAGGACACGTGCTGCAGCATTTTGGACAAGCTGCAGGGTCTTCAATGACTTACTTCTCGAGCCTGATAATAGGGAATTACAATAATCAAGTCTGGATGTGACAAAGACATGGACTAGTGTTTCTGCATCTGGGTGCCAGCTGCATAGCAGTGGAAATTTAGTGTGTGAGTGTGTCCTGATAATATTTCCTAGTGGAATAATGAGAATAAAAATTGGGCCTAGCACAGAACCCTGTGGAACACATTGGTTAGCTTAGGTGCGCATAGATGGCTCATCATTGATTTGCACAAATTAGAATCAACCTGAAAAATAGGATTTAACCAGTTTAGGCCGGTTACTTCAATGCCAATTAGCTGTTCTAATCTCTGTAATAGAATTTGATGATCAATAGTTGAATGCTGCACTAAGATCTAACAGGACAAGGACAGATACAAACCCTTCATCTGAAGCTATTAGAAGGTCATTAGTGACTTTTGCCAAGGCTGTCTCTGTGCTGTGATGAGCTCCTAATCCTGACTGAAAGTATTCATATACATTACTTTCCTGGAGAAACTCACACAGCTGATTGGTTACAACCTTCTCGAGGATTTTAGACAGGAAAGGATATTGGTCTGTAGTTGGCTAAAATCATCAATCATGAGCATCCTCCATGTCCATGGATAACTTAATGGTTTGTTATTGATCCATTGAAGAAGAGGATGTTCCCCTCAGTGCTTGCCAGCACATCCAAGACCTTACCTGTTCTAATTACCAACCAGTAGGCACCTCAGTTTTACCTGACATAAATCAAACTGAATGTCTCACATTTACTCACAAACCACTAATCTATTTTACAAAGAAAATCCATTTCACCACCTGAACAAAGGGGTGATTTCAAAAGTTCCTAAAATGTCACCAGTTTTCCCTGGGACTGATTGTATGATGTGATGATTACATCTTTGTTTTAGTCCTGGAATGGTCTTAAAGGTTCAGTTTGTAGAATTTAGTGACATCTAGTGATGTGATTTCCAGTTGCATGTTGCAGCAGAGTACCCCTTAAGTTTCAGACTCAGTGCTCTGTGGACAGTACTGATGTGACTCCTGGCCAGCTGAGGCCATTGCATCTTGTTATAGTGACCAACCTTCCCCCACGTTGCTGTGGTATAACATCACTGTTGTGTAAGATCTCTGCTGTTTGACTGAGCTTTTTCACTCCCATCTGTAAGCATTCACAGTATTTCAGTTTGAACCTTCCCCTGATGCAGGGGGATCACATTCAACATTATTGAATAGATACATTTTACTTGTCAGAGACACTCATACTTTGAAATGATTCCAAGCTATAAGCAACAGGGTCTGGGAAACACTTCCCATATGTTCACAGTAGAGATGAAATATCAAGGCCTGGCTTTTACACTGTGCACCTGCTGAAAATCTACCCCTTGCCTTTTCATCACTGCACCATCCACTGTCGATCCCACTGACATGAAAAGCTCTTACCATGTCATCATGTTGTTTAATGTGACAATTGGTCTTACAGCCTGTGATAAGATTATAATGGTAATAATGTAAGAAGGGAACTTTTGCCTGTGGTGAAACATCTCAACTGAGTGGATGATTTGCCATAAAATCTCAAACAGACTCACTGTCATTATTTATTTTGGCAAAACTAATCACAGAACCCTGTCAACTTGTTAAAAACAAACATTGTCACTGGCCTTAGCTGTACTTCATTTTTATCAAACTTTACCAGCTACACATCTGCAGATTGGATCTAAGAACATGGCAATGTCATGAAGTATTAAAGATGAGTGGTTTGGTGATCAGACTGAACCACTATCATACACCACTTATAGCAGTGGTGCTCTTGTGCAAGGATTAGTCATTTAGACAATTTGTTTACTTCCTGGATGATTGTCAAATGGCCAGTGTTTTTTTTTTGCCGATGAACCTGTTTTTTAGAAAAAAAAAATCCTAGAAAAATCCTTAAAAAAGAAGACTGTGGCCTCCACAATGAGATGGCCTGTAGTTAATGTTGTCTTCTTGAGACTAAGACTGAACCCCTATTTCTGATGAAAGGTATTAGAGGGGCAATGCTGTAAATAATCAAATCAGGCAGGGCTAACTTTTTTAATAATGGCATTTCATAATAAATGATGTCATGCCATGTCATCATTTATACCATGATGATGAATAATTGGTTGATCTAAATTAGCTCTTGTGTCTCTACCTACTACTTTATATGCAGAGATACAGCAAAAATGCTTTTATGAACAATACATTATTACCTTACCAAGTAATATTCCCACCGACTTTGTTGAAAACCTGTCTAGGGTTTGTTGAGTCATTTTGTACACACACAGACAGGGATGAAATCTCTGCTTTCTGCTTGGCCGGTGCTCTGGGGAATAAAGAGGTGGGCTACTTTCTAAGTTTAGTTTTTAAAATAACTACTCAGCATGAAGAAACCCTTAGTCACGTATTGATCAATAATGGTTTTGACCCTGAACATAAATATTGTAAATGTTAATTTTTTCTTATTTTAAACAGGAAAAAATATATATTCCCTGATTGACCTCCCCAACCTCCACAACTACAACGTTTCCTTTTCCTCCTCTGGCATATCATCCACTCTCAGTCCTAAGCCTTTTCCTCTCTCCTCTCTTTCTGCATCATGTTTACCATCACAACAGCTACATTGGGACTCTTTCTTTCTGCCAGCATCTCTGTTTTAGAGCCTGCAGGTGCCCTTGCCAGTAGACAGTGCTGATCCTGTATGAGCAGCAAGCACAAAGACACAGTCTCTTCTCCCTTACTACAGTAACATTCAGCCCACGCATGCACTTCAAAACTCACGAATTGTTGTCAGAAATTGTTCTGCCAAACATTCTCCACGTCCCATGCACGTCTCCAGTATCATCACTTCTCACATTTCCTACACTGAGAGGTAGAGTGACAGAATGTGTAACCCTGCCCTTCTTCAGTTAAACCAAAACCCTAGAAAAGCTCCTGATCCAAAGTGAAAACTCCTCAGACTCCTAATCTACCACTGCTTAAATAACACTTTGTTAGTCAGATTTACTTGCCTGTGCTCTGCTAAGTCAAGAAAGCAAGGACTTCCCTTATGCAACACAGCCATCTGCATGCTTAATGCTCACACAGTGCTGTTGCACTACTTCAGATATAGTGTAATGAGGAAGTCAATCCCCACTCTAAGGGCAGAAGCCTTCAGTATTCTCTCAAGCCCACTTGGTGCCTCAGCTGCAGGCTGTGATGGAAATGCCCTTGACTGTCACAGTTGACTGCAGGTGCATCATTCCTTTCAGGAAAGCCCATAGAAATCAAGTAACGTGCCTCAGGCAACGGCTCCCAATTTGTCACTTTTATAAGTGAGCATGGCACAGCCTTATTTAATGGTAATATCCAGTAACAGAGCAGAGCACAATATGAGGTTATGCTATATCAACATCATAGGGCTCTGAGGGGACAAGCCAAATTAATCGTTTGGTCCCACACTTTAGCAAAGAGTTCCAGTAAGAGGTATTTTTTATTCAAACTATTATTCAAAGTGTTTCAAACTAGTTTTATAAAGTGTGGTTAAAACAGCTCTTAAAGCTGGGAAGCTGGTGGTATCTGTTCTGAATGGCCACACCTGAAGACAGGACATGAAGACTGCTGTTACAGAGAGGGATGAGAAACAATGAACCGTACAGATGGCACAATGTTCCAACAGTTTCCCTTGAACACATTCAATTTTTACACAGAGAGTTACAACAGTAGAGGAGAGCAAAGAATCCCAAATAGGGTTTGAGATGATTCAGCAACACACTGGAGGAAAGGCCCGGCTAATGATAACAAGCTCAACCTTAAGGTTTGTTGATTACATAGAGGTAACCATCTAGCTACAGAGCTCACACATGTTGCTGATGATCACCTCCTCAACAATGCAACCCCACATCAGAGTGACTACATGGAGACTGCAGAGGAATGGGAGTTTTGATAGAGTAACAAGGTGAAAAACAAACATAGCAAACAAAGACATCACTTCCAGCCTCTGTGTCATTACTCTGAATCTTCACTCATATAACTAAACTTCTTTTGTAATTCTGCTGACAAATGAACAAACAAACATACACAGGTGGAGACACAACCTCCTTGACAGAGGTAATATATCAGGTGCTAATGACACAGATAGCAAACAAAATGTATTAATCTGGTTTAAAACTGTCGATAGTGTAAGACAGTATTTTAACTTCTTACTGATTTATTAGTAAGATAAATCTAAAAGTAAAAGATTAAGCTAAGTTATATGATATGTAATTCTTATTAGATCATTAGCAGAATCAATTAGCAGAGCCCTGCTTGCATTAGATTAACCACAACAGTGAACACTGTGTGTGCTGTAGTCAGAGTGGCTTTTCACTAACTCAAAGGTGGGTGGTTTAATCCCTGTGCCAATAGTGTGATAGCGTGTGTGTCCTGTACTATAAAGTGCTTTGAGAGGTCCATTAGACTGAAAAAGTGCTACAATAATATGGGATAGTCCATTTACCTTCCCATGATAACTTAGACATGAAGATCATTAATAATAGTTAATACTTCACAAATAGAATCTAAATGAATAGAAAAGGTTTACAACTATAAATAAAACTGTGAAAGCAATCAGATGAACTGGAATCTAAGCTCTCCATTGAAAAACCTATTAGATTTCTGTACTCATCACATACTGAAAAGCAACTGAGACTAACATTTACTAATATGACATGTAGAACAAAAGACTGAAGATCTAAACTGAAACGCAGCTGAAAAGAAATCCTTCCCATAAACTTGCTTTAAACTTCTTCAGCTGGAGAAACACAGTCAGTTTCCATAGCAGAGCATGATAGGACAGTCAAGTCCACCAGGGCAATGCTGATGTTACACAAGCTTATTCTTCCTAACCCATCCACACTTACTGCTGCACAGTACAAGTCAGACAAACATGCAGCTCAGTGGTCCAGCAACCACATCCCCCCTCTGCCTCTCATGCCCTTTCTCTTTACTCCTGCAGTTCGTCGTGTGCCTCCCCGTTTCTCCATCCCTCCCACCAATCACGATGTAATGCCTGGAGGCAGTGTCAATCTGACCTGTGTGGCAGTCGGTGCTCCCATGCCTTTTGTCAAGTGGATGATCGGTGAGGTGGAGCTGACCCGAGAGGAGGAGATGCCTATTGGCCGCAATGTCCTGGAGCTCACCAACATCCAACAGTCTGCCAACTACACTTGTGTGGCCATATCCTCCTTGGGCATGATTGAGACCACGGCCCAGATAACTGTCAAAGGTGAGAAACTGTAAAGTTCTGGGGGTGTTAGGTGTTTCTGGTACAATGTGACCTCATATTGCAGAATTTCAATATATGAATAATTATACTGTTTTAAAGCATAAATAAGTATTATTATCATTATGGATGTCAGGATTTGTGAGTATTTGCGATCATGGGCTATACAAATGCAATTGTATTATTATTATTAATAATAATAATATTAATTAATTAATTAATTAATAATGACAATAATAATAGAGAGAGAGAGAGAAAGAAGAAGAAGAGAACTAATCGTCATGAGAACTACAGTGCCACGTCCCCTACCCCCAATCCAACAGGCACCGGAGCCACGCCAACAGAGCAACGGTGTGTTGGCGTGGTTCCGTGGATTTGCTCTGACTTAATCTTGATACTCAATAAAACTCCTTACAGATGTGAGAACAAACTGCATTATTTCGCTTTGTGATTATTTCTCATTAGATCACTAGCAGTGGCAGACTGATATGGAGATTAACACCTGTTTATACTACCATTTATACTACTCAGTCCAACACTGATTTAGATTGAAAACTTGACAACATTTCACAGTGTCACAGACTAACTGAGTTTCAGCCTAAATATTTTACCCCTGTGTTTATCAAATAGACTAAAAACACATCAACTCAGCTAAACCTGAGTAAACACTTGGCTGCTGCTTGGTTGTTATTTTGGATGATTTTCCAAGGACAGAGAATGTCAGACTTTGTTAAGCCCTATGAGACAAATTGTAATTTGTGAACATGGGCTGTACAAATAAAATTTGATTGAATGATTGATCGAAACCATCCATGCTTACCCTCATGCATCCTCATCTGTGCAGAACATTGAAAAGATTGCACATTCTAAATATAAATGATTGCTGTGAACGTAATCCAAGCATCCTAACATGTTGAGTTATATAAAGCGAAGAGAGAAGGAGGAGATAAAAGATAGTATGAGGAAAGGTGTCATAATGTCACAAGCTGCATCAACAGCAATCATTAAAGAAGATAATTATTCAATTGACATTAAAGTCCACACAGTGATATGTAGTCATTTAATATACGGTGCATCACTATCAGTGTACTGTGGAATTTTATAATCATCCTAAATGCCAGGTTCACATGTCTGTACTAAAGAAGAAAGGGGGATGCATCCATAATATACTATTCAGCCTGCTGCCACCGTCAACATTAGGAAAGGACAGAGATAGGCTCCTGAATGTTTACACTGGCAGTGCTAAACAGCTCTGTGTTCCTCCTGTCAGACCTTTATGTCAGAGAGATGAAAATGGAAAAAGACTGTGGGAGACTAAAATGTCTGACTCTCTCATCTGTCTCTGCTCTTTAACAGCTCTGCCAAAGCCACCTACCTCCCTCATTGTGACAGAAACTACAGCAACCAGTGTCACCCTGACCTGGGACTCTGGTAATCCTGAATCGGTGTCCTACTATGTAATTCAGTACCGCCCCAAACTGTCTGAAAACGGCTTCCAGGAAGTAGATGGAGTAGCCACCACCCGATACAGCATCGGTGGTCTTAGCCCCTTTTCTGAATACGAATTTCGCGTAATGGCTGTCAACAACGTCGGCCGGGGGCCTCCCAGTGGTATTGTGGACACTCGTACAAGTGAGCAAGCACCCTCATCCCCTCCTCTTCACGTCCAGGCACGCATGCTGAGTTCTAGCACCATGCTGGTTCAGTGGGAACCTCCAGAGGAGCCCAACGGCCAAATCCGGGGCTACAGAGTCTACTACAGCTCCACGCAAAACAACCCACTCAGCGCCTGGCAGAAACACAACACAGATAACAGCCAGCTCACCACCATTTCAGGCCTGACCACAGATATCACATACAGCCTGAGAGTACTGGGCTTTACTTCAGTGGGAGACGGACCTCCCTCTGATGTTGTGCAGATCAAGACCCAGCAGGGAGGTGAGAACAAGCAAATTCTGAAGATGTTACAGTCAAAGTGTATTTTCAGCGCCATGCCACTGGGTCAGGTGTTGCTTCATCCCTTTGAGGCAGAACAGAATTTAAAACACACATTTGACATGTCCTGTTATGGCAAAATGTTAGCAAACTGTTGCCTAATTACAAAAGAGCTACATTAGTTCTATGTTGAAGTCATGTCTGTGTCTAGCTGATGAATGTTCATGCATTTTGACACCTAAACTTTTTGGTTTGGTTAAAACAATCCCTGATGTTTTTACCCAGTCAGTAGGGTCCTTTTTCATTGCAGAAAACCTTAAACTCTGGTGCAGCCTCAAAAAGCTACACCTGTTGAGCTGTCTTCTCACGAGTGATGAGATGTCTTTTGATTAATATATTTAAAAAGGTTATTTGATTACTTAGTCCACAACTGTAGAAAAGTTGCTTGCACATTGTGGTAGCACCTTATTACTAAGCAAACAACTTATTTCATTCGAGTTGTTTAGTCTGATAAAAAGCAAGGCAGCATTAGCAGGAAGGATATTTTTTTCTCCATTTTCAGACTGAAGCAGGTGAGAGCTGCTTGGGGGAGGATGAGGAGGAGGCAGTGTTAAAGGACAGAGAGTGAGGCAGGGGAAGAGAATTCGTCAGGGTGAGGGAGAGTTTCTGAAGCAGCAGCTGCAGGGATGAGGATGAGAGAGTGAATCATAGCAAAGGGAGTGGACTGAAGCAATGCAGGTTTGTATTTATAAAACAAACTTTTATTATGTTCCTAGTAGGAACATAAGTAGGCATTAGTAGGTCGTGGGCAGCTGTGGCTGAGGTGTAGAGCGGTCATCTTCCAACCAGAAGGTTGGCAGTTTGATCCCTATTCTACCCTGAATTGCCCCTCATAGAACAAAAAATGTAATAGTTGAATTGAAAATTTTAACTGTATGAATGTGAATTGCAAACTGTACTGTAAAGAGCTTTGAGTGGTCATCAAGACTAGAAAAGTGCTATATAAATACAAACCATTTATCTCTTTGCCTACTGCAGTTTTCAATCTTGGTCTGTTCCAGTGGAAGCAGTAGTCAAGGGCAGCAAGCAACACTCCTACTTCATAAACCAGGGACTGAAAGCGTAGCAATGGCTTACGTACATCAGAATATGATCTTAGAATGACTCGAGGTCTGCAGTTAACCGATTTAGATCACAATTTTTAAAATAAGCACAAATGTCATTTTCAACTTGGTGAAAAATGTTGCAACACCTTACCTGAGTGGGCTGATCATGGATAGTCTTATTGATTCCAATAACTGGAAGTCAAGACAATGCTCAGCCCATTCTGTTGAGGCTGAACACAAATATGAGGTAAAAACATTTTAAATAAAGTAAATAAGACTCAATAAAACAATAAAGGAAAGATTAACCAATACCTCAACGTATAGAAAAGAAAATGTGATCCCTCTCCTGCATCTTTTAATGAGAGTCAATGAATTCTATAATAGCTGTTTAACGTCAAACCTTCTGGTAATAAGCAACAGTTGGATTCATCTCAGTTACATCAACCTACAAACAGTCTAGTTCATAATTAGGCATAATTGTCAAACTGACTTGCCAAACAAAGAATTAAATTTATATTGGTATGGTACATTACTTATTCAGCAGAAAATTTGTAAACATTGTTCTTGGTCCGAAACCCCTTGTCACTCATCAGAGATTTACATCTTGGAGGCACTACCTCTGTTTATTATTGTTTCTGTCATTATAAGTCTCATATCGCTTCAACTTGTCGCATTTTCACATCTTAGATGATGTATATTAATGATCTTCATTTACCGTAATTTAGATATGCTTCTGACAAACTTTTAATCACATTTTTGCAAAGAAATCCTTATAATTTGTAAACCACAGGATTGACTGTAAAGTTTTACAGCTCATTTTTAAATCTCTTAATGTAGCTGCTCCCAAATTCTTACTAGACATGTTAGTTCATTCTAACAATGCGAGACCTCTGAGAATAGTGAGTGGTCTGCTTGTGGTGCCAAGGGCAAAGTGGAGAAGCAGCTTTTACTGACTGCACCTTGAATCTACCACTGGGTATGAAATGTGCTTTGTACATAAAATGACATTGCCTTTCCTATACTCCTTCATGAAATGATTGGTTACAACTAGAATTGTGAAATTCATTGATGCTTGGCTGTTTATCAAGTTATATGAGAACTGAAATATGTATATGTCTGCAGGAACTTATTGTTAGCAGTTTAACTGTCTAGCCACGCTGTGTTACACCCGGATTTTGATTTTGCATGAAAGCAGAGTTGTTAAATATTCACCAGCAAAGGTCAACAGAGTTGGAATATTCAGGAGTGTATACAGTATATGTGGGTGTCTGTGTAATATGAAGGTCTGACACACTTTATCCTCAGGGACAAAGTGGCTGACTGCACGTAGAGGAATAATAAGAGTATTTCATTCAAGCACAGCCTGTTTGTCTGCTTACTGTGCATGGAGGGATGAAACATGATATCACAGCAGAATTGCAGTAGAAGATAAAGCCAACCAGAGTCAGCCACCCCACTTTATTTATTTGTGGAATAGAGTTCATCACCCTTACAAGCTCACATAAATCATTTTGACTTGAGTGCATATAACAAAGTCTAGCAGTAACTGTATCAGAGTTAGAAGACTTGGCTGGTTCTACACTCTGTTTTATCTGCACCTCTCTGGGATTAAGGGGAAATTATCACAACACATGAATCAGAATCAGAAAAGCTTTTATTGCCAAGTAAGTTTACACATACATGGAATTTGTTTTGATGTTGTTGGCGCATGTCAGACATCTCTAAATATAACAAGATAAAAAAAATCAAGTATTAAAATTTAACAATATAAATATAAAAATAAATACACAGTATGTTTTTTGAAGGTAAAAAATGAGAATTAAGAAGAGCAGTACAGCTGAGTAAGTATAGTGTTCACAGTATGCAGAGTATTTCCAATATAAGTATGTAGCTGAGCGTTAATGTAACGCATAGAGTAGAGAATGCAGTGTCAATGTGACATATGGAGGCAGAGGTGGAGTGTGAAAGAGTGTCAGGGTGGGTTCTGGGCCTTGTTGATAAGGCTAGTAGCGGATGGGAAAAAACTGTTCTTGTGGCGTGCAGGAAAGTGGGAGGGATCAGCCACGATCTTTCCTGCACGCTTCAGAGTCCTGGAGGTGTACAGGTCCTGGAGCTACGGTAGACAAGTCTGCTCTTGTCCTTGGCAGTGGCAGCAGCGTACCAGATGGTGATGGAGGATGTGAGGATGGACTCAACAATGGCTGTGTAGAAGTGCACAATCATAGTTTTTGGCAGGTTGAATTTCTTCTACTGTCGAGGAAGTACATCCTCTGCTGAGCTTTCTTGTTGAGGGAGCTGATGTTCAGCTCCCACTTGAGGTCCTGGGAGATGATAGTTCCCAGGAAGCGGAAAGACTCCACAGTGTCAATTGTGGAGTCACAGAAGGTTATGGGGGCAGGTGAGGCTGAGTTCTTCCTGTAGTCTACAACCATCTCCACTGTCTTTAGAGCGTTGAACTCAAGGTTGTTTTGGCTGCACCAGTTCACCAGATGGTCTACCTCCCACCTGTAGGCGGACTCGTCACCATCAGAGATGAGATCAATGAGAGTGGTGTCGTCCACGAACTTCATTAGCTTGACAGACTGTTGGCTGGAGGTGCAACTGTTTGTGTACAGGGAGAAGAGCAGAGGAGAAAGAACACAGCCCTGGGGGGATCCGGTGCTGATGGTCCGGGAGTCGGAGACATGTTTCCCCAGCTTCACGCGCTGCTTCCTGTCAGACAGGAAGTCAGTGATCCACCTGCAGGTGGAGTCAGGGGAGGTGCCCTGTCATGATCTGGGGGGGGAGGTGCCCTGTCATGATCTGTCATGTTTGCCCACCTCCACCCGGTACACTGTCCTGTCGGCCATGGTCTCTCTGCAAACATGTCGATGAATGAATCGGCGTTAGCGGAGAATATCTAACATAATATATAACATGACAGATCAGTCAAAGTGTGCCCCCTTGTGGCTGGCTATAGTGGCTACAGGTCATAAGTCCCGCATTCTTCATAAAAGTGACACTAAAAACTCAAAGTACTCTTCAAATAAAGTTTCTCCAAACRTGTTTGTTATTTTATGTAGTTATTATCACAATATTCCATGTCCAAGAGTCCATTTCCCCGGATAAGATGGGTTTTATTCGTTATTTGCCACTATAAACACACTGAACTCACTTTAAATGGTAAATGCTTTATATAGTGCCATTCACCCATGCACACACACATTCATACAGTGCATCTATTAGCAGCACTTTTTGTTCTATTAGGGGCCATTGAGGGTTCCGCATCTTGCTCAAGGACACTTGGGCATACAGGGGATTGAACTGCTGACCTTCTGGCTGGAGGATGACCACTTAAATTGAATGAGCGACTGTGGCTTTCTATGAATACATTCTTCACTGCCTGCCTCTATTTCTATTTAGCTCTTTAAACCTCTTCCGCCCTTTGTTTCTGCCTCCAGTTCCAGCTCAGCCATCTGGGTTCGAGGCTGAGGCAGAACTGGATTCACGCATCATGCTTTCATGGCTTTGGCCAGTTCAGGAGCCCATCGTTGGCTTCGAACTTCTTTATTGGGAGGCCAACAACCCTACAGACAAGGTAAACACCACCTTCAAAACATTTTCCTTCCAGTCTGATACTTAGATGGTCAGGATATTAGTGCTGAAACGGGTACATGGGTTTTATTTATATCCATTGTTCTTCAGCTGATTTGCACAAACAGACTTAGAATGGAAACTAAACTACACCTGCATCTGATTAGCTTTTCTCTGGAAACACATGACAAATAATAATTTGGACTCAAGGATGAACTGATTAGATTTTGGTGGTCAGAGGTCAAGGGCAGATAGATGATTAATATATTCTTTGACAAGCATCATCTGTGTGTGTTTTCATCTCTCCACAGCATCGCGTCACTTTCGAGCCAGCAGGTTTCTACGCAATTGATGGTCTGAAGCCGGACACAGTCTATATGTTTTCCATGGCAGCACGATCTGAGATGGGTTTAGGAGTCTTTACTCAGCCAATTGAGACCAGAACTGCCCAATCCAGTAAGTACTGCAGCCTTTTAACACCATGTAACATGTTCAGTTATTCAGACTATGTAAAAAGAAAAATTATCCATTGTTTACTTTTAGTTCTGGTTTGATTCATGTTTAAAGTAACGTATTGCAAATAATCCAAGAGGAGTAAACATGAAGCCACATTTAATGAAAGGTAAGTCTTGCACAAGACAGTGTCAGTGATCCTGCATCCTGCATCATGAGCTTTCAAGTACACCATGAAAAAAAAATCTTAAATGAACATGATTCGTAGTTCATTAAGAGCCTGCTAAATTTACACGACACACTACAAACACAACACACTTTTGTCAAAACTGCTTTTCACTGACATATATACAGAATGCATCTGGTGGATAACATGGCTGATACAGGCTATACGTATCATGACAGTTTCAGATCAGGAGATTCATGTCACAATAGAGCTGTAAGTAGAGGGTGCACTCATTAATTTACTACGTGGATTACAGAGCTCAAGTCAAGCAAAAACAACGTGTCATGTTCACAGGTTGTCATTTATAATTCTGATTGATTGTCACCCTTGGCTCTTACCTAAGATGAGTCAGCCTAGGGCAGATGCCAGAGAAGGGCAAGAGTAGAGAAACATCTATACAGGATGCATTTTGTCAATGAAGTGAATGTGGATCACATGCATTTTGCCTCGGACCCCCTCACGCAATCACTATAGTTATGTTACAATTATTATGACTCGGATTGTCCTTCTGTCCGTCCCATTCTTGTGAGCATGATATCTCAAGAATTCCTTGAGGTAATTTTTTTCAAATTTGGTACAAATAATAACTTGGACTCAAGGATGAACTGATTAGATTATGTTGGTCAAAGGTCAAGATCACGGTGCCCTCACCAAGTATGGTCATGTTTATCTTGAATGTATTATTTTAAGATCAGCTTGAGGGAATGTCTTTAAATTTTGTACTAAAATTGTCTCAGATTAAAAGATGAAGTTATACAATTGGTGGTCAAAAGATCAAGGTTGCATTGCTTTGTTCTGAACACAATATATCAGGGATGCCCAAAGAGAATTTCATAACATGTGGCACAAACATTTACATTGAGTCAACGATGACCTGATAAGAATTTGGTGGTCAAAGGTCAAAGTCAGTGTGACCTCACAAAGCACATTTATTTCCTTGTGAGTGTGATTTGTCCGGAAAGTATTGAATTCTTTCCCATTTGGCATGAACATTCACTTGAAGTCAAGGATTAACTTTGATTTTGGTAGCCAAAGGTCAAAGGTCCAGGTCACTGTGGCCTCACAAATTATATTCATGTTTATCTTGAACATATTATTTCAAGATCAACATGAGGAAATGCCTGCAGAATTGGTACAAATGTACACTTGGATTCAAAGATGAACTGATTATATTTTAGAGCTTAGAGGTCAAAGATCAAGGTCATAGTGTCCTTCACTTCCTGTGATCGTGATATATTAGGATGCCCATGAGGGATTTCATTACATCTGGCACAATTCACTTTGACTCATTGATGATGTGTTAAGAATTTGGTGGTCAAAGGTCAGTGACTTCTCAAACACATGTTCTGCCTTGTGAATGTGATATCAAACACTGAGTATTCCCTGAGTGAGTCAGCAGAACCTCCCATTTTCACCCCACCATCAAGGGTCGACTGGCCATTGGGAGTGCCAGGAGTTTCCCCTGTTGGCCGCTTGACAATTGGGTCGACAAACTGTCATATTGAAATTGTGACAAAACAAAACTTGAATATCGATTGGTGTGTGCCTTTATCGAAAGGCCCATAATGTTTTGTGGTTACTGGTCCAAACAGGGGCAGAGTGGGCGGTTTTCATAACATTGGCTGTGACACATCCCTACTTTGTAGACAGTTAACTGAGGCCCATGTGGATCTTCCCACCCCCTTTTCTCTCAGTGGTATCAATCAATCAATTAACTCCTTAACACATGAAAACGTGTGAGAAAACAAAACCATGGAAAAAATCATGCCACAACACTAGAAGGTGGTACAGAGAAGTTAAGAGACAAAAAAAATGTGTGAGGCAGGCCTGATGTCTTTTTTGACTGTACTGAAGTTCTGTACAAGATTAAAATCATTAACTAACACAACATTCAAATCACCACTATCAGCATATAAACCAGCTTCCTCCACCCTGTGGTCCCCTAAAACAAAATAGGTCCCTGCATGAATTTGTGGATCATAACATGCATAAAGTTACACAAAGAATAAAAACAAATATATAAAATTCCCAAAATGCTTTTTCTTGTGAAATAATTTCCCATGTAGCTAAACCGTATGAGAATGAAACATTATGATGAATCTGTTGTTGAAAAAACCTGCCGACCTGGTTAAATCCAGTTTGTGGTCAGGGTTGTGATGGAAACTATCCTGTGAGACCATGAAAGGCTTTCTTTAGAAGTGCCTGCCACATAACCTCTTATCTGTTTGACCTCAGTTGTGAATTCTTTGTTTATGAAAGTGTTACTTCACTTTCTTCCAAAGCCTCTATTTCAAGTATTGGTGCTTTCCACAGCCCTGTTTCTATAACAGGCTGCAGTGTATCTCCCACATATGTATCATTGCCTCCTAGCCTTGATTTATTGCACCCCTGCACTACTTTATCTGCAGCTTCATGTGTGTAATAGAATTATAGCTGCTCTTGTACATCTCTTTTGTAACAAGCACAACTGCCGCAAGTGAGGAAAACCACCACCACCTCTGCACAGAAAGTTACCTTGTTGGCAAATCACACATGAACATGACGGTCCCCTGTGATGTCTCTAACAGCTCCATATTCACTCACTCAATGTATTCTATGTGTCATTGTGCAAACATGCATCTATTTGTCTGTTTTACTTTTCAGTTGGTGAACTTTCACATTTAATTATACATGAATGCATGTGTATGTGAGATTGCATTTGTTTTATTTAGTTTTTTGTCTACCCTCTGGACTGTGACGATCATGTGCTTAAAAGGAGGAATACACGAGGTTACATCTCAAATCCTCAGTATCAACACTACAATTTTAACCTAGCTTCTAAAAATCATATTAATACAGAATTCATTTCACTGCCACTCTGCTTTGTAGAAAACATGAAGCTGCCCAAATTGCACTTTATTTGAATTAATAATACAAGGAAACATTTATATTTAAACATGTTAAAGGAAACTTCCTTTTTACTGTTTCATAAAAATAACCTTTCATGAACCCTAATATGACATGTTTTTGTGTCTGAGTCGGGACTTTATATCCAGGCACCAGTGTCACAAGTTTTACGCACACAACAATCTACCTCCTCACCGAGTCATTGAAACAAGTTGGGCAGCGACAACGATTTTTCTTCAAAACACAACGGCAAATGAGATTAGTGGGATATTAACAAAAACCATAGGAGGCAGACTTGCCAGGCTCTGTCAAGCCCAACTTGAATATTCAGACGTTTTTTGTTTCACATTGTCGCTCAGCAGTTCAGAGAGTCAGTAGTTCTATCCTCCATTATCCATCCTGCTTGATCATAACCCTCCCTCCTCCCCTCCCATCAGCCCCTTCAGCCCCTCCTCAGGAGGTACAATCGCTCAGCCTCAGCTCCACAAGCATCAAGGTGAGTTGGGAGGCACCTCCCACAGACAGCCGCCATGCGGAGATAGTGCGCTACTCTCTAGCCTACCAAGCAGTCACAGGGGAGGACATGGAGTACCACCAGGTGTCAGGGATTGGTGCTGATGCCACCAGTTACGTGCTAGAGGGCCTGGAGAAGTGGACTGAGTATATGGTGTGGGTGAGGGCTCATACTGACGTTGGGCCCGGCCCAGAGAGCCCAGCATCCCGTATCAGAACCCAGGAGGATGGTATGTAAAACATGTTGTGGGAAACAGTTGTGCTTATCTGGAAATACTAACCCTCCAACATTCTCTCTGCTCCCCTCCTGCTGCATTTTACAATTTTCAAATTGACTCAACTCTTTGGGTCACAACAAACCCCATGCTGCATAATCCTTAATGCATTTCTATTTCTAAGTCAGACTATACTTAGTAAATAAGATTAAAGGGGCAAGTAATTACATTTAAACAACATTACAACAACACAACAGCATTAAAAAAAGAACAACTTAAGTTCAGAAACACTTTGAAAAAAGATTGCAATAAGAGAGCTTGCTGACTTGACTCCTGGGGGGGACTATTCCACAGTATGGGACAGCAAACACACAGTCCCCCCATGTTTTACATCTTGAATGTGGTACCACTTGCAGGCCTTGTTCAGATGACCTGAGATTCCTAGCAGAGGAATATGGAATTAATAATTTGCCTATGTACTCTACTACTACTGGAGCCAGATTCAAAGCCTGAGGACTCGGTACATGAGGAGGAGGATATTGAATGTGGTAGACAATAGTGCCTGCTGCCACCCATTTGTATTGAAGTCAACATAACTTAAAATCAATTACTATCCCAAGAGCTAAGGGGATCCAGAGCAACTGGACCTTCTTGGATAACCATGATCTGGATGACTGATCTTCCTCATCATCTGCCATCACAAAACTATTGCTGTGTGACTTCTGATGACACGTATGATAAGTCAGGAACATTCGATGCTGAAAACTCCTCCTCAGCCTTGGCTTAGATGTTCTGCTTCTAAAAAAAACTTAATTAATTAACTTTATGATCACTGCCAGTCTGCCTTGTCTTTGTCCCAGTATGATGACATGGCTGCAGCCTGCTGGGTTTTGGTCAGGCTGAGGTGTCCAGAAAGTTCCCTCAGTGGCAACATGACATGATCTCTGTCCTCAGTCAGATTGCAGGTCTCAGGCACTAAATGGCGTGTATTTCTCAGTCCAGTGGGAGTTTTCTGCCATTTGTAGCACACATTCATTATCTGTGTCACTGCTGAAGACAAGTCAGAAGCTGAACCTAGGCACTGTTCTCACAGGTATGAGTCAGACAGCTATACAACAAATCCTGACAAGAGGATTACATTTTTTTTATGAAATAACAATTAGCAACAACATGACCAGTGAGAGCAGAGATAGAAACAGGCTCCATTAGAAAAGATCAAACTATCAAAGGGTAAGTCCTGGATAATCTCCCAGAGGCTAAGAAAGTGCTACTCACTAATGCTCAGGCCTTTGACACTCACAGCTCACAGATTAACTCCAGCTATACATTTCTGTATCACTTTGATTGGCTCATTCCATTATTATTTTTTGACTGTCTGTGCCTGAGTAGCAGTGCAAAGATGAGAGGAAAAAGATATAAAAAGCTGATCTAATGTTGAAATATAGGAATGTTAGAATGATTGAAGCTGAATCCCATAATTCTACAATTACAAAAGTGAAGTTTGTCCAAAGCTATGATTTAGTTGTGGTCAAGAGATTTAGGGGCTCAGTGGTCAAGCCTAATTTCTTTTTTATTCTGTAACTCTCACCATGATCACCAATATGCTACATTCTCCCACAATGCGATAAAATGAAATTATTATTCATGATTTTATTTTGGTCTGCCTTCTACTGAAAGAGAACATACATGCTCACACTACAATTTTGGTTCTAAGGTTGATCACTGTAGTCTTCTGTCTTGTTCACCAATGGTATGGTAAAAGAAGATGGACATGAAATAAACATAAAGATTTATTTGGTGTAAATGTATTTTTAGGAAAGCAGCTGCTGACCTCTTGTGGCTCCACACCTCCATGTTAAGGTCATTCAGGCTGTGGATTTCTTTCATCTGAGGGAAAGCAGAGGAAGAGACAATGTAGACACACACACACACTGGACACAGTGAGAAAGATACAGTTGAGACAATTAGTGGCCACATCAGCTTTAGAAAGCCACTGCAGAGAACTCCCTCCACCCACACACAGGATCAGGCCTCCTGCTGTCAGGAGGGATGGTGTTAAACCAGCATGGACTGCGATGGCCTCTCTGAGTCTACAGTGAGCATCACACATAACCATGTTAGAGAGGACAGTCATTACAAATAAAATCCAAGTGCTTCAGTTTCCCACCTGTAGTTTTGTTGCCATAACCAGAATATTTCCATGACCCTAACAATGTAATAGTTGTCATGCAAATATTGTAGAAAGCAAGAATTGTGTACAAGATTGTCAGTGGCCAAAAACAACTGTTAACATTGATTGTAAAATCATTCAATGTTTCGCAGAATGATCAATTTCTAACGTGTCTGCTTAATTTAACTGTGTTTAACTTTCTGTTTCACACAATACTTCTATACGACTGGAGATCATTTAGTCCGTGCCAGCAGGTTGATTTCAGTGTTGCGCTTATTCTGTTTTGGATTCTCCTTTTTTGTTCTCCCTCCATACTTTACACATTGTGGCTTTGTCCTTTGCTGTTAACACACAAGTTTATTGACATTTCCCTCCATGGCTTGAACCATGTTGCTTGTAGCTTGCTGATTCTTTATGAGGTTAAATGGTTTTAATTAGTCTAATGTACACAGTGCTGACATAACAGAGCTTCTCTCTTCTGTCGAGCTTGCTGATCCTCTTCATCTCCTTGTCTGACTAGAATCCCATTAATACTTGCACAGCCTCACCAAGTCAAATTTGTATTCATTCACTCATCCCTCTGAAGCTGACCAAGCATTCTAAAGAAATCTTCATATGCTCATTTTAAAATTCTATAAAGGGGTAAGTGAGGGCCGTAGACCCTGCTCCAAGCATCCTCCTGGGGCTCCACGTGATAAGCTTTGATGTGCATAACCTGCAATGATATCTCACAACCTTCACATTACCTCTGTCTAGCTTCTGCAGGTGTAGAACTGGATTAAATGTTCAGTCTCTGATGTCTCTCATCAGATGGAGATGAAAAGATAACTTTGACAACAGACAAACTTTATTCTGCTACTATACCCAAAACAATCAAGGCGGTATTTTGAGTTTCAGGTTGCGCAGTCACATTGAGACAGTCTTAAAGGAGAGTGTTTATGTAACCATAACATGAATCTGGTCATGCTTTTTGTGATCATTCATTTTAATGGATGGTATAAATAGTAATCCAATAGAGCTGTGTGCATGCTGATTTTGTCTTGATGTTGCAGGCTTGAAGTAATGTGTCTGTTTCTTAGTTACTTACTCATTTAGACACACACACATTTTCACTATATGCCAAATATAGGAAAACAAATCAATATGATTTTGAAAAAAATAAAAACTTTATGGCCGTAGAATGAAATCCTTATAACGTGGAATGCATACTATTTGTGGAGACATTGTTGTCATTCTGATGGGGAGTTCAAATGCAAAGACTGCATTATAGAAACAGTATGGGGTCAAATCAGTCTCAATATTCACAAATGCACACGGAAGGATTCACAAATACATTCAAATGCCCACACAAATAGTTATCAGTGTATAGAAATGTAAAAAAAAACGCTGGTGGGATCGTACCCTTGTGTGGCTGCGCCCCAGTGATTGCCTGAAAATGAGATACTTGGCTACAGATACGTCCACGTCCAAAGAAATGTATGTGTGAATCCAGCGACGTCAGGGTAGTCTCAAAAAACCCACACAAATGTAGAGCGATCTACACACAAATGCAGAATATATTTGTGAAACTTTTTTTCATCTTTTACATTGATAACTATTTGTGTGTGCATTGGAATGTATTTGTGAATCCTTCCAAGTGCATTTGTCAATACTGAGACTGATCTGACCCCATAATACAGGTCAAATTTTGACCAGTTGTCACTGCATTAAAGACAAACTAAGTTTCGATTTCAGTAGTCAATGGTAAAGGTCACGAACCAGTGACTTCGAATCATATGTTAGATTGTCATATGTCATTAGACTATGAATGGTGAAATGTTTTGGCTCTAAAGCAGAGCTATTCAACTATCATACTTTGTCATGTATTTATACATTTTTATTTAAGGAAAACACAGACACACAAAATGAAAACTTTATCTTTCCCAAACTATTTTCAATGTATACTGTGTGCTGTGTTGCGCTGCAGTGCCTGGAGCTCCTCCCAGGAAGGTGGAGGTGGACACCCTCAACTCCACTGCTCTCAGGGTGACCTGGAAGCCTCCCCTGTTTGTGAAGCAGCATGGCCAGATCAGAGGCTACCAGCTGGTCTACTCCAGGCTAGAGAATGGGGAGCCTCATGGCCAGCCAGTCATTGTGGACGTTTCACTCCCTGACGCACAGGTACAGTGACAGACTTTAAATCCATTGTAACTTTTAAGGGGTGACTTTTGTTTTCTTAACATATTTGGAACAATGGCAGACTGAGAGCTGAGGAATGCTTTGCTTGGTTAAAATCCCAGGAGATATTTATAATAACTGTAAGTGTTATAAAGTGTTTTTGTGTTGGATGGATGAAAAAGCACATAGGCACAATATAGAAAGAAATCACATAAACTCTGTCAGTGTACTACTGCATCCAGCAGACAGGTAAGGGTATAATTTCCACTCATATCCCAGGATATGCAGCTTTCGTTCGAACCAGATATGTAGATAAAATTAAATTAAAAATTAAAAAATCTTTTTACACATTTCATTAAATAAATAAGTCCCAACTGAAGAATCTGTCACCCATTGAAAATCATAGAACAATTCACTCTGACAACATGAAAAGTGTCCTAGAATAAGCAGCCAATAATGAGCATCAGCAGCAATCACACAGTAGTCACTGAACTTTACTCCACTTACCTAAGCTTGACTTAGAAATGTGAGTGGCTGGCTAGCAAATATTTTAGAAACAAATCTAGTGACTTTCTGGATAAACCTTAGGTTTTTAGAGAGTGATAAGACTGAGAGACATGGTGAACTTGACGGGGCAGGCACTGGGATCTCTGGAATGCTAGAAAAATAATTTAATTTCATCAAATACTCGGCGAGTGAGTGGAGAGGAGTGCTTGCTCCGTGTGCGTCTAGACCACCACTGCCCACCATGGCTCTGCCTATAGAGCCGGTGGAGATAAGAGCTTGCACGCTCCATGTATGTCTAGCCAGGCATTGCACACTGGCAGGTCAGTTAAAATAGACGTGTAATATTTTATTGTGGGCCGGATATAATTGTTGGCCTTGAGTTTGACATCTCTGCTATAACACATTAGTTCACTTCAGCAGCCATAAAGGACTGCCTACAAACTTTCATCATAGGATATTCAAGACAGTAGAGACTGGAGAGAAAATCTTTGCACCAAAGTTGAAGCCAGGGTTAAAGGAGAAAAACTGTGATGGATTTGCAAGTATAAGAGAGATTCCAGTGAAGCAGAAGTTGAAGGGTATTGAACATCTCTCTGTGAGGTGGAGTTCAGCTCCTCTTCTCTCAGCTTGTTTTGTTCTCCTCGAGCCGCGTTTAACCTGATTCCCATTCCTGTCTTATCTATGCAAGGCAGGATTCCTGATAAGGAGCCCACATCGCACAACCCATCTACACTCTCTCTCTCTCTCACACACAAACACAAAAACACACACAAATACAAGTTGGACTTGTACCTGCTTTAATCTATTTTCCTCTGAACTGTGTTTTGCAATAGGATGGTAAATGGTCTGTATTTATATAGTGTTTTTCTAGTCTTGATGACCACTCAAAGCTCTTGTATACAGTTTGCCATTCACACAAACATTCATACATCTATGAGCAGCACTTTTGTTCTACAGGGGGCTCTTTGGGGAAGGCTGGGGATTGAACTGCTGACCTTCTGGTTGGAGGATGACTGCTGCGGTACTGCTTTACCCCTCAGCCACAGTCTCAAAGCAGTACCCATGCATACCAGGGTGCCTTGATCCTTTGTTTCTAGGGGTGGCAGTGGCTGAGGGGTAGAGCAGTCATCCTCCAACCAGAAGGTCAGAAGTTCAATTCCCAGTCTTCCCATCTGCATTCCAAAGTGTCCCTGGGCAAGATGCTGAACCCCAAACTACTACTCTAGATGCACTCTATGAATGAATGAATGTGTGTGTGAATGGGTGAATGGCAAACTGTAGTGTAAAGCACTTTGAGTGGTCTTCAAGACTAGAAAAGCGCTATATAAATAAAACCATTTGCCTTTTCTAGGGTAAAGAAAACTACAATTCATACAACTTAGATGAAATGAACTAGTGAAAACATCATGAGGATTATTCGACATAAAATTTCTGCCAATAGTTCCCTTTCACCTAAATCTTACACACTGGACCTTTAATATAAAACTCTTCAGTTTTTTGTCCCACCCCTGCAGATTAGCAGACAGATCTGATTCAGCCCATTTGTTACACTTGGTGACATGCTTATTGTATTGATGTCACACATTCCCTGTGATTAATGGATTCTGTCTCTTGTGTGCATGTGAGTTCTTCAGGAGACTCAGATCTGTGCACCAGTAGATCCAGTTATAACCTGTTGTGTTGACAGCCCATGTGTCCTTGTCAGGGTGACGGGCAGCACCCAGTGAGCTTCAGCTACAGTGTGAAGAGTGAATAGCAGCATTTGAAAGTCCTGAGCTGGACTGTGAGTGCTGAGCTGTTCAGCTGCCTGAAAATCCATCAGTGGTTTCCCTGACTCTTGGCTAGCCAGCAGTCAGTACAGATTACTGCTTTTTGTAATGAAAAGACCTTGATGAGGAAATACAGTCAATCATGCCAAACTATAGGACCCTACAGGCAGGAAGCAAAGCTTTAATTAGTGGCTCATTCCCAGTCTGATGCTGCTGCTGTTTGCTTTGACTTGACGCCTTTCAACTCTCTTGCTTTTCTGCTGCCAAGCTTGTGGGTTTTAAGATCTTGGTAAGGCATATTTGCGGATGGCTGAAAAATACTTGAAGGAGCCTCTCACTCGCCAGAACTAATGGCTGTGAAGCGAGAGGATTGACTGATTTGATAAGATATGGTGACTTCTCTGAGGCTCATCCCCATTTGTTGTTGCCCAGAAAAACAAACCCAGCTCATGATAGTGCACAGAACAAGGTACAAGAGACAATGTCGTCTTTGTCAGTCTTTATGGTCACACAAAACACTAGTGAATCATCAAGGTTTACACTCACTGATCAGTTTATGAGGAACGCCATATCTGTACTGGCTAGAGCCTCCCTTTTAAGGTATGGCACCAGATTTCTTTTATGCATAGCATGCAATGGCTTTTGTGAGATGAGAGCCTCAGGTCATTATGCTGAAAGGAAAACTGCAAATACTGCAATTTTCCTTGACTTGAACATGTTCACAGACACAATGTCATATGATCACTGTAGAACAAGCTGCTGCCCACGCTCTTATGATAGCCGCTGTCTGCAGTACGGGGCCCCTACAGGGAACGGTTCTGGCTCTGTTCCTCTTCACCCTCTACACTGCAGACTTCTTGTACAACTTGCCCTCTTTTCAGGTGCAGAAGTTCTCTGGTGACTCTACCATTGTCTGCATCATCACAGATGAGGACAACAGGGAATAGAAAGAACTGATGCAGGACTTTGTTGACTGGTACCAGCAGAACTACCTCCAGATCAACCAAAGAACTGGTGGTAGATTTCCGCAGGCGCAGACACTCTCCCGACACCGGTGAACATCCAGGAAATGGATATCGATACATATCAAGATATTGAACCCCGGATTGCCCCTTGTAGAAAAAACTGCTGCAATGTATGAATGTGTGTGAATGGGTGAATGGCAAAAACGGTACAATAAAGCACCTTTAGTAAGAAAAGCGCTATTTAAATACATAGTTTTTATAAGTACGTGGGTGTTCACCTGAACGATAAACAATAAACTGGACTGGACTGATCATGCCAGTGCACTCTATATGAAGGTCCAGAGCAGAATCTGCAGTATTTGCTCAAGGCTTTTGGAGTGCAGAGGCTCCTGAAGACCCTTTTTGACTCTCCAGTGGCATTGGCCGTCTTCTTTTGAGTGATCTGCTGGAGCAGCAGCATTTCAACTCAGTCCAGCTCAGTCCTGGGATACCCCCTTGAACCAGTGGAGGTGGTGGGACAGAGGAGGATTATGGCGAAGCTGTCATCTCTGATGGACAACCAGTCCTGCCCCCTGCAGGACACCATAACAGCACTGGGCTGCTCCTTCAGTGACAGACTGATCCACCCTAAGTGCCTGATGGAGACACTGTACAACCAGCTCTGCTCCCAGTAGAACTACACGCACCCATTATGGACTGCACATTAATTATCTGCATACAATGTTACTGATGAATATTGTACTGTATGAAAACAAATGATGCAACAATGGTCAATGGAAACCAAAATCATCCACTCATTGAGGACTGGATTCAAAACCATGCTGAAAATCAAAGTTTAATTTGCGTTTAACTAGTTTAACTCTTTTAACAGTGCAATATTTATTCTGTCTGTGCAATACAATGATTCATGTGAAATCCATTCCCAGTACATATTCTTCTTGTTTTTACTTAACTTAATTCTATTTTAATATCTTAATACCATTTTCTATATTTTTTAAATTTTCCTTTCAATTAAGTATTATTATTATATTACACTTAAATATTGCATGTTACTATTATTACTTACTGATGTGTATTTCTGACTCTTGCTGCTGTAATATTGCAAATTTCCCCATGGTGGGAATAATCATTGATTATCTATCTTGTCTTAGTGTAGTAATAACTGTTCAGTACGTATGTAACGTAATCATTTATATTATAAACAATTCACCCTATTCAAATGACAAGCTTTAATAAGCAGAGACCAGTCAGAATGAGTTGAGAGGAATCTAACCTCAAAATGTTCAACACGGACAGAGTTAGTGATACGTCAAGGAGAAGAGCCAGTGGTACATTAGTTACTATTTGAAAGAAAGATGCTTACTCAATACTGAGGCCACTCTTAGTCCCTTGCCTCCTTATATAATGTATCTTTTCTTGATTTAGAGCATGAGTAGGGAATGGTATAGTTTTTAATCTCACTGTGAACAGCTTACATTGTTTATGATGGCAGCCTTTATTTATTTCTTCTGAGAAGCTGAGGAAGCAAGCCCCTTTTCTTTCATTTCTGGTAGTCAGCAAGGTCAGAATATAAATGGCCGTACTCCTGAATCACTGACGTTACAGCAGCTTCTCTTGTGTTGAAAGTAACACAGGCTGACTAATGTTCTTTCAGTCTCAGCACTTTATTAAAAAATAGGGTTTTCATTAGTGGTAAATGCTGTATAAGTGTGTCAATCACTGTGTATATGACCCTCTATTGTATGGTAAAAGTACTTCTTCT